AGATAAAAAGATCAGGTAAGATTTTGATGGACGAAATTGAACTCGAACCTTTAGGAGAGCCCTTTGCTTGGGATGGAGGATGCATGGCACAAAAGAGAAAACTGGTTCACTGATTTTGAACTTCGGCTTTATCTATAAGATCGCGTGGGATTTTGTTATCAACATCTTGCCAAGCAAGTGAAAAGCCGCCTCTACGACTTTGTTTTTATATAAATTTAAGGAAATGGGCACGGAAGTCTAGTTGCCTCGAGGCCTATGGAACGCTGTGTAAGCCCCGTGTTCGTTGTGTCTTTGGCCAATGCAAGTGGGGCATTGCTCCAAAGCAACTTGCGGATTCGAACATGTGACCCGCATTTCTTGAGCTTGAACTCCTCTGATGCCCCAGTCAACTGTGCCAACCTTGGAGTTTATTGGGTGATCTTGAGCCTCTCTCGCACCAAAAAGTTAGCTTAAAGCGTGAGGCTTTTTCTTACGCTAGTAAACTAATCATATGCCACTTCTACAACTGATGTGGAATAATCCCAACATAGTTTACCATACGTAGTTCGAGAAGGCGCTAGTTTGAGACACCGACTTCCAAATCCATACTAGCATTTGGGTAAAACAATCGTGGCAAATCAGCCTTACAATTATGTATGTATTTTCTTAGGGAGAACCACAGACCGTTTTGTGTTTATAGCTCCGGGATTGGTGTAATTGGTTAGGACGTTCAAAGATTTTCAGCTCAAAAACCGGAGATCATTCGTTCGAATTATACAAATTGCATCCAAATTGCTATGGGTTAGACCGACCTGTACAAGCTAAAAGCTTGAGATCAACCGGTTCATGGGTTTACAGGATATTTCATGAGCCTTTAGGTAGCTGGATCTATTGAAAAGGTCACGCTAGCGAATTAAAAGAATCCGGGGACAGGACAATAACAGTGAAATCAATGAGTGATGAACCTTTTTTTGTGCTCCTGGCAAAGACGGATCAAAAAGCAGGATGAGAAAGTAGGGTGAAAAGCAGAATCAACGGTCTAATTTCTCATTATGCTTTTGGCTGAGTCAAATTTGTTTCTTGTACGCCACGAAAGAAGATCAGGACGATTGGTGTGCGCGCAAAGGGAAGAGCGCTTTACTGATTTCATAAGCCGGTAAAAAAGTTCATTCCGATCGGGAGGGACGAAACTTGAAGTTGAGCTTCGGCTTATCCAGATATAATTCAGGGAAATGGGCATAGAGATCGAGCTGTTTAGAGACTCGTGGAACACGATGCAAGCTTCATGAATTGGTTAAGTCCGGATCTTTGGCCTGTGCAGGTGGCTTGATTGATCCGGAGTAGTTTGTGCACGGCTTGTGGGATTCGAACATTGCTTACTCCATCACTCGAGCTGGAATATCGTTCGACACCCAACCAACTGTGCCGACCTTAGGGTTCCTACACAATAATTTACTATTTGTAATTCGAGCTTGCGCTGCGAGAAACTTAGAGAAGTAGGAGTCGTGCACCAGATATTCATTTTATGCTTGTTAGGACCGAACCGAACCGAACCGAACCTAACCACCGGTCCATAGATCAAAGAAGAACCTCTTCACGTTGCAAATTGTCGGGGCCAGTTATCCTCACAGCGCAGTAATTACAGACGGGCCTACATCATGGGAATAATGTAATCATTGGTTTTGTGATTAATCCAGTCCACTAAACTCAAGTTTAGGCGAAAAAAAAATGTTCCAAATTGCGAGAGGCTTGGTAGTGTATCTTTTATATATCTGAATGGAGTATAAATTTTGAGGTCCTCCGAGATGGAGGAGAAAGTGTCGAGGTCCCCCCCCCCCCCCCCACCTTTTAACTCCCCGTCTGGACAATAATTTGGCATTCAAATATTTTATCCGTACTTGGGAGTGTTTGATATTCATACATCAACCTCTTCCTAGGCCCTACATACCAATCGCGCGATTGGCCGAGGGCATCGAGAGACTTCCAGATCACGGAGCCGAGAGATCGATTGGTCGAAATTCCGCCAATTGCGTTGTGAATTACTTCGGGCCGAAGCCTATAAGCGCGGACCAAAATCGCCGAGCGTAACTGGTTCGTCGGATTCACGGGACATTTCACGAGCCTTCGGGTAGTCGGGTCATCGTGCCGATGTCCCCGGGCTACGAAAAGGAGAGATGCTTAGCGTTTGCTTATATCCCCATATTATAATAGTCCCACTCGGTACTATAATGCACTAGCTGTGATTACTCGGCCCATGGACCAACTTCATTGATCGTTTGATAATTAAGCTACTTCAAAACTCTCAAAGTTAACCCAAAAAAAAACACACACACACACGCACACACAAATTGGAAAAATAATAATTAATTGTTATTTAATGAGTCTCCACACATAAATATATTTTTTTACCAAATATTATAATCCGGAAATATGATCTTTCTTGTAATTCGCATCTTCCATTCTTAAAATGTCGCGTTGCAGTAAAATGTAAACTTCTACCTTTCGAACCGGCGCCCGAAGCAGTTCTTAATAGAGCTGATTTTAAACCGGGCAGACCACCCTTCGGCTCTTGCCCAAGCCCGCTCGTCCGGAAGGCCAAACGACGGGCGGCGGGGTCGAGATTCTTACGTTGAAGCTCAGCAGCTCATTCTTGACACAAGCCCAGCCCAGTCAACGAACTTCATGATGGTACTTTCATTTTCTTTTTATTTTCTTCCGTCGCCAAATCGCGCGTTTTGCGTTTGTCTTCGTCACGAGCTCGATCCGGAAAGTGTACAATGCATACGAGTCGATGAAGCCGTAACGATATGATCAAGCCAGACTCGCCCGTGCAACTGAGCCTTCCACGATTCAAGCGGCGACTTCCCAGCAACGAATGCCTCGTCGGATGTTGTTTCGGATAGTAATTGAAGACGGGTATTCCCCGACTAGCCATCTTGAGTCCGGCTGTGCGACAAGGCACGAAATTTTCTTGTCCTTGTGGTGATCTCTTATCCCGAGCGCGAAACGAATCCGTCGAGATCCGCACGAGTTGGCGAGCACGGCACCTAACCATGCAGCCCGAAAAGGAAAAAGGAGAGAGAGAGAGGGAGGGAGGACGACTTCTTTCCATTTTGCCTAAAGACGGCACGAGCCCATCATCGAGGCGACCGGCGAACAACGACTTCGATTCAACCTTCCGATACGTCAACTTCGTCTCCGAACATTCGGTAAAATCCTTGCTCGTCCCGAACCGATCCACATGAGCCGAGTCCATCATCGATCCATGACGCGTTTCGCTCTGTTTACCTATCGTGCTTCGAGATCCAATGGCATATCGGGACCTAGTAATGGCCTTGACGGGTCTGCCCAAGCCCAAATCCGTTCCCATATTGGACCTAAAGCTGGAGTTTGCATGAAAGAGAAGGCTTGAGAGTGTACGGGCTCGTTTCCTGGTCATTTACACGAGTGCTCGGTTCAACAGAAAGAACTAAAAACCGGTCTTCGTTACCAAATGCTGCTTTTGTTGACCACTTTGACAACTTTTATTGGCCTGGAGTGAAAGGTTACGACCAGATTCATGAATATTAGAATGTGCATTGCAGTAAGCAAGCCCCGATGCCCGTTATTTCAAAGATTCAACATGAATCGTCGTCTGAAAGCCGCTGCCTTGACGGAATTATCCCGAAAACACGTCTGGAAAGAACAATCGAACCGAATGTCTCGTGCGATTCGGTTTTTCCCGTTTATGAAAATAAGAAAAGGCGATAGTTTTCGATTACGGTACAGATGTAGTCAAGAAATCCGAAAAATCAAAAGGATCTAATCAAATATACTACGTAATCCAGCTTAAAAAGGAACTTTGGAGTTGACATGTCCGTTAATGACAAACAACAATCCGGGGTTATAATTAATGCCTTGAAAGACATTTTCAAGTCGCACACGCAATCTCAAATATAAGTAGCCTATTTCCCAAACACAAAGTCATCAGATATTAAGAATCGAGACACGAGGTGTTCTTATTAACATTGCATTACTTTCTGGGTATAGCTTCTTTTGCTCTTCTGGTATCGAAGACCCTCGGGATCTCATCATCTACTCAAAGGTAAATCCCAATTTCTTCATCACATTTTATTCAGGAAATTCGCCCATCTTAACCATTTAATCTGAAAACATACCTTATTTTTCACCCAATGATCGATTGCATATCCCTACTGTTGAAAACACTAATTTCACACCAGAGTTTTACCTTTGAAGAGCAATTTGCACTTTCACATAAATTATTCTTGTGTCCCCGTTTACGAAAGCACCATTTTTCTTTTCGAAATTGTCAATTCTCGTATCTTTAACGCCCACGCCAATTCAAAACACTAAAAATCAACCGGAAACCTAATCGCCCAAACCCTAAAGAGGGGCAATTCGGTCTTTTCAGTCAGGTTTTCTTGTTTTAAGAGGCATACCGTATATGAACGGTATTCGCAAAAAAGAATTTGTCAGGGAGTGCATAGGAGCACTTGATAAACAACCAAACGAAGAAAATGTTGCAACTTCCAATGCACCAACTGCTCTCGTAATATACACAATTAACATTTCAAAATTTTGATAATTCCTCGTTAGCTAAGCTTAACCAATGCCCTAGAGGCACTCCTTAACAAACGATCATTTGCCAAAAAAAAAACAAATTAAAGATACGTAAGTAGTCAATCAAGTACGCTTTTGATTCTGACCAAAAAAAAAAAAAGGGTTATGCTTTTGATATTTTTTCCATTAATTAACTCAAGGAAGCTAAAAAAAAATAAAAAGAATAAAAAACTACTCAAGGAAGCTTAGAATTCGCTTTTCTCGGATTTGTCCGCTCGAGTATTTTCACTTTCTTTTTTCCCCCCCTTACATCCGCGGTAGAGAAAAAGCTTATGGTAACGCAAAGCGATTCTTTTTTTTAAAGTCACCGTTAAAGACTAGTTTTTTTTTAAATTTTTTTCTCAAGAAAGAAGTCTTTCCACATTGTCTTAAACAAATGCGAACCAACTTGTGTGTGTGTGTCTTCTGCTTAGATTGCTCGCAGTTGCCCCGATATATAAGAAAGCTCTCTCTCTCTCTTTCTCTCTCTCTCTCTCTCCATCTGATTCTTTGTTTCCTTTTCGCTCTCTTCGTTTCTGTTTTTTTGTTGTTTTTTTCCTTTGTGTTGCCTCCCTCCCTCTATTCTTGCATGCTTCGAACACACAGCACGAAGCACTCGCGCCCCCATTGATTACCATGAAGAGCTCTGTCCTGCATGATGTGCCTCGCTGTTAGTGCCCTCGTCGTCTCATGAAGTTTGTGCATTGAAGGTAATGGATTCCGAGTCCCACCTGGTTTCGTGAATGATGGGTATTTGTCGTACTTTGGCATAGGCTCTCTTGTTTCGTCAATGATTATGATTTATCACGAAGTCATTAAATTTTGAGTTTTGGGCTGAATTGGGTGTTTGTCAGATCATGGGTCCTGGGAGAAGCCTGAGGAAAAAGAGAAAGAGAGAGAATATGAAGAAGAAGAAGAGTGAAGCGGATGCTTCTGCTTCTGGGTCTTCTCAGAGAGAGGAGTCTGGAGATTGGTTTGATGAGTTTTGCAAAAGAAGCAATGGTATTCTCTATTTACTGTTATTGCTCTACCGCATGTATTTCTTGGGTGTTTCTTTTTTCTGATTTTTTTCATTACTGTTGCTAGGATGATACCTTCTGCGGGTTTAGTTTTCTTTGTTACGTTCGCTGTAGATGACGATATCTTCGTTCTGCTCTCGCTGAGATTTTGCAATGGGATTGACACGCTCCTTATGTGGAAATCTAATTAACGAATTGACAGTCATTGTATTCAACTCGGTCAATGCTACATTTCTTGGTCTTGAAAAATGAAAGAAAAATAAAAAAAACCCTTTTTCTTCGGCAGTCCGGTTTGTAGAAATGTGAGAGCTCTGAGTTCGTAAATCCAGCGGTTCATTTAAGCACAGTGATGTCCTATTACTGTCTTGGTATCATAATCAGGTGAACTCTGGAGGAGCGTAAGTTAAATGAATAAGGGTACGATGCAAACAGAAATTCTGCATTTTTTTGATAAAATCATTGGATTTTGTTGTGTTCGCGTGTCAACCGCAAGTCAAATAGTCGCTCAAGAAGAAAATCTCAGCTGTTATTTCATACCTCTTGCTTAGAACTCCTTTTTCTTTTCCTGTTATCAATAAAGTAACTCTGTCCACTTCACAGAGTTGATCATGTGCTCTACGAGGGTCTTTAATGATACCTCCGATAGAGAATAATCTAGTAGGAAAATTTTCTGTTTTGGTCAATAATTTTCTGAACTCTTGTTCGCTGTCAAATGAATAAAAAGCCTTCGATCAAAAAACAAAAAGAAACGGTGCACAGACTTTCCTATAGTTCTCGCCAATTGATGAATGTTGCACTCTCTGAGACATGCTGCTTCTTACTCTTTGTAGGATATCTGCTTTTAGATCCCTATGTTTGATGCACAAATATATGAATTGAATTAGACTGCAGGGCCCTTCATCATCGTGATTATTGCTATAAAAACTGTCTTTTTTGCATCCCATCTTAGTTCTCAAAATTGAATATAAGTGGCCACTGGCCGTTCAAGCAGAAATATCATCCATCTGTTTGTCTTTGATAACCGAGACTTGCGTAAGCTAGTTTTGCCATTGATCTGGAAAAAGAGCTGACCAAACTCTCCAAGTTTTGTTTAAGTATGCATCAAAATATCCTGGAGATTGTATAGTTGCCTAAAGTTGTCAGAATGATTAGTGGATTTGAGTTTTGGATGCTTAGCTTCAGCTCCACTTTCTGATATCTATATATTGAGAATGGTGTTGCATATGTAGCCATCCTTGCATATGATGTAGATATTTTGGAACTTTTGGGTAATCAAGATGCTACTGTATCTTTTCCCAAATCATGATTCTGCATCGCTCCATTGTGCTTGGTTCAGTAGTCAATTATTAGCTCGTCAATTTAATATGCTGTGTACTATTTCTTAGCTCAAGTCTTGGTCTATACACTTGATATTTCCTGAGATTGCTCCCTGTTCATTTGTAAAGTCATTATTGATTAGGGAGTAATTCAGCAGGATGTCATTCTTTACTTATTTGAATCACCTTATTCCTACTACAGTTAGGCTTACAGTTGTGCTACTTTCTGTTGTATAATATGCTTAAAGCTTTCTTGGCAGAAAAAGAAGAAATAAGAAGCTTGAAGGTTAGCAAACATTTTATATTCTTTGGAAATTGATTGGGGAAAGGTTAAAGATAACTAAGGTTATATATGAACTCCGATCATGAAAAAAGAAATGATGCCAGTTGTTCTTAAAAGATGTTGGCAGCAGCTCATGTCTTATATTGGGGTAAACCATTCAGAAAGACACGATGATTCTTTCAGTCAAACATGTCGACATGTAGCTCTGGAAGTCTAAATAGTAGCATGGACAGAAAATCAAAGTTCCAACAATTAAGAGTTCATCAAAATCTCTATAGGAATAGCACCTGCTCTATCCCATAAAGTAAGTAAGTCGGGGGATGATAAAACAAGGGTTGTCATCGTTGTAATGACATATGTGACCCTGTCTGATGTGTAAAGTATACAGAGTGGCATCATCAGGTTGAGGTGGTAATTCATAAACTAATGTCGGCAAATAAGGTTCATCAGAAATGTTGATACTGTTATTTTCTCAGATCAAATCAATTAGAGCTTCTGGGGTGATACAGATGCGTCAAAACCACCCTCTGGAGTTCCATGAGATTGATAGTCAATGAAAGTATTTTGTAGTTTCTGTTGGCATGTTTTGTACCAAACAAAAGTATTCTGCTTGATCTCTGAATTTGGTGGACGTATGTCTTGATTTGGTCTCATCTTCCTGGCAGGAAATAAGGACCTCCTATTTCCTTTTTTCGAGATAATCTTTTTCCATTGTATATGTAAAAAAAATTTTCCTCTCGCTTCACGATCTTTAATCCCTTTATCCTTGTATTTTGCTGCTGCAGAAGTTATACTACTGCTATTAGCAGAATAAAAGCTTGAATGTGCTTTGACAGTTTCAACTTCCATCTTTTTTCACCCAATTCTTCGCAGGTCATCTTCCTTCAAAGAATGGACTGAACGAGTTCCAATCCGTTTTCGGAATTTCCAAGAGAACCTTCGATTACATATGTTCACTTGTAAAGGAGGATATTATGGTCAAGCCAGCGAACTTGGTGTTCAAAAATGGCAGCCCTTTATCTTTACATGACCAAGTAGCTGTAGCTTTGAGAAGGCTGGGCTCTGGAGACTCGCTCATAACTGTAGGAGATTCATTTGGCCTGAACCACTCAACTGTGTCCCAAGCTACTTGGCGTTTTATTGAAGCCATGGAAGAGAGGGCAAGTCATCACCTACGCTGGCCCTCCACTACAATTGAAATGGCAAACATGAAATCCAAGTTCGAGAAGATGTGTGGCTTGCCTAATTGCTGCGGTGCCATTGCTTTTACTCGCATCTTGATGAACTTGTCCACATCGGACCCCAATAGTACCTTGTGGCTCGACCACGAGAAGCGTTACAGTATGGTCTTGCAAGCAATAGTGGACCCGGATATGAGATTTCAAGACATAGTCACTGGATGGCCAGGGGGTAAAATGAACAGATGGTCGGTCTTTCAGAATTCAGGCTTCTATCAACTGTGCAACCAGGGAGAGAGATTGAATGGGAACACATTAGAGCTTTTGGATGGATCAATGGTGAGGGAATATGTGGTTGGGGATTCAGGCTATCAGTTACTTCCTTATCTCATCACACCATATGAAGGGAAAGAATTTTCCGAACCAAGATCCGAGTTCAACAGGCGGCTCATGGCAGCTGCAGGGGTGGCAGAGAGGGCACTCACAAGGTTGAAGGACTCGTGGAGGATCATCCGTGGAGTCATGTGGAGACCCGATAGACACAGGTTGCCGAGGATTATTCTGGTTTGTTGCCTTCTTCACAATATCGTCATTGACATGGAAGATGAAGTCCAGGACAAGACGACAGTATCTCCCCATCGTGAGTCGCGATGGCCCCAGCAAGCATGTGGAGTAGGCGACATGAAAGGTGCGTCTCTGAGAGATAGACTGTGTCTTCACCTTTCTGGAAGCCCTCCACCATAAATCTCTTCGCTCAATCCATGAGGCCGAGTCCCCCTAGTTCCAAATTGCTGGTTACAGGTTTTGATATTATAAGTTCAAGGATAGAGGCAGGATGACTTGTAAACTGAGATTATAGAGCTAAAATCAGATTTGTGCTTGATTGTCTGCTGCTTCGTCTCTGGGAATGATTTTGTTTTTGTCGGTCCTATAACTCGTACTGAAGTAACCCAGTCGAACTACCGTACATTGTGCAAGAGAGGCGACTAGCTCACTGAGCACAAAGGGAGCATCCAGGGCCAAAAAGGTGTCCTTCAAAGCAAAACAAAGGGAAGAATGTTGCTGCATGCATATTCATTTCCAGCTTCCCAAATGTGCTTTGAGAGCGCCGGTTGTTACTCCGGCAACCAATGTCATCCTGAGAGCTAGCTCTTGCTGACAATTCTTTCTTCAATGCTGTTCGCTCTCTCGATTAGGATGGCAATTATATACTGTTCACGAAGTAAGACGGCTACACATACTTCGATAGTACATGTGAATGTGAAGAAAACGATGGTATTTGGAATTTGCCTCGGTGAATTTCTATAGCATGACGTTTGACCATATCAAGATGACCTGCAATGCACGGAAATAACTTTCGACCACTTGCAACGCGTTTGAATAAGCAAAACTTCCAAAGAAATTGTCTTGCACCTTCATTTTCAGACCAACCACCCTTATATTACAAAAAGGTTAAACTTCATACAAGTTTCTGAATATACTCGCATCATCAAATGGACATGTTTCAGTTCTCTTCTTTCTTTCCTCTCGAACTCTTTTAAGAACGAGCATCTTAGCCTGCTATTTCTGCTGCTAACGTCCCGAGTCCCGACAGGCATGACCAAGCCGTCCAAAGACTCGGGCCTCGGTTCGTCGGCGAAGAAAATTAATGAGTATCCCATTCACTGGAATCACATACACAAGCATCAGAAACAAGTACATCACATCTGAATAACCTCATCACTGGTTGTCACACTACTATCCAAACCTAAAACTCCCATTTTAAGCCGACGAATGACTGCTTGCACATACATTCAAAAGCGACTACCCATTTGAAGCCTGTCTTGAAAGCTTGCCAGAGAGTTAATCTCGATCAAAGGCGGAACTCGAGGCATTACGAAACCTGGCAACACTATATGCCGATCCCCGGGGAAGGTCGAAGGAAGCACAAGGCACGTCGCATCATCACTATAAGATCTTGCAGATTCAGTATCCACACAATGTAGTACCTGACTTGATTATGATACTATTTATTAGGGATGCAACTCACGTTGCGAAATGAATATGGCCATAACAATTATAACACGGCACAACACATGTTATAAATGATACCAAACGGACTTGATCTTGATGTAGGTATCTTATTGTCATTTGTGCCTCAAGGCATTAATAGAGGATGTCAAGGCAATACCATGCAATGATGAAATTTAATTTTTATTCGGTGTTAAATCTCTCGACTCTTCCAAAATACATCAGCATCCATGTTAAGGTTTTTAAGCCATGGGAATTTGTTCAGTAATTTGGTAAAAGTAAAATAATTTTTAAATAATTTATGGAACTTTTATAAAGAGTTGGAAGGAAGGGAAAGGTGTGAGAAAAAGCACAATGTAAAACCAAAAATGGAAACTACATAAATACATGGTATTTGAAGCGGACGGCTTGATTTCATTTCCGGAGCTAGACACGACACGTGTACAGCAGAGATGCGCGTCGCCTGCCACCGTGGCCATGCGGGCGCACCCTTCTTACGATGCTCCACCGCGCGAGCTATAATCCTGTGTGACTCATGCACTCCACCAGCAACTGCCTCTCTCTCTCTCTCTCTCTCCGACGCAGCGCCATTTTTTTTGTCCTCCGAACACGCGCTGGCCATCCCGTCACCGGCGACGAGCGACTCGATTCCGTGACCGGCGATCGCGTCTCCGGTCGTTCCATTTCGCCCGGCGATCACCGTAAGCCACGACGGCTCTCGTCGATTTTCGTTTTCCTGCGGTTCCCACGTGTCTGTAGGCTTAGGGCATTGTCGGCTTGGCTTCCCGTTCTTAGAAAGCCTCGAGGAATGACTTTGAGAATGCATTGCGTCTTCTCGAGGTGTTATTGGCCGCGAATGAGGTGGCTGCGTCGGATTTTTTCGCTGTTTCGCGCTTGTTCAGAAGTGGGTTCATTGCTAGTTTGCAGGTCAATGCGTGTAGGTTGTTGGTTGTGTTTATTGTGCGCTGAAAGAGCTTCCTTTTGGTCCGTTGCAGAGGTTTTGATGTGTATGGGGTTGTCGCTGGTTCGCACACATACTCGTGGATAGAAGGAAGGAAGGAAGGTTTCGCAGCAGCGGGTACGAAAGCTGGAGTGGTATCGCATGATGCTGTTTCGTCGATAGACTTGGAGAAGCAAAATGGTAATGTTTGCCGGGTTCTCATTTCTTTCTGGGGCTCTTGTGGGGATGGGTTGTATGCTGTTTAGCGTTGAATATTAACCGGTAATAAAATAGTTAGGTGCTAATGTTTCTTTAAGATCAAGGAAGCTCTCAAGGATTGTGTACAGAATTGAACTATGGCCATTTAACTAGAAACACGGGAGCTTCGTACTCTTGGAAATACTGGTAACAATTAAGATGTTGGATATTAGAAAGAAGCAAAGCATAAGCAATCTTTTGAGTTTTTTCAAGCCATGGTGAGTGGATTGTGGACATGATAAGTGATAACCAATGCATGAGAGTTTCTACGTGAAAAGCCCTTTTTTCCCTTTTTTTTTTCTTTTTGTGTGTGTGGGGGAGTGTTGATTGGGGAGGGATGGGCTGTCCTAGTGTTTATATACTTTCTTTTCAGTGTCATTTATATTAAAGAGGGAGCTAGCACATGATTGTATTTCCTGTTAGAGCCTATAGGCGTCAGTTGGTATGACCTATTAGAAATTGTGCCATCTTTAGCTTTTGGATTCGTGCCATGTGCCTATGTGTGCACCAGTCAACTGAAGATTGCCATCCTTTCTCTTGTCTCTCACCACCCATACTTGCAAGGGAATGTGAAGGCGTATTAAAACTTTAACATCGAACCATCATTGATGATTGTGTTGTTTGGCTGGTCATTTCAGGATAAGAGTTTTTGGATGGCCAAAGGTGCTGAAATAGATCCGACTTTTGATAACCCCTCCAGAATTGTAATAAAACGGACTCATCGATGGTTAGCAGATTCTGGTGAGGCGGAGTTTTTCTCTAGCAAGAAACCTGCATTACAATCTCCAAGTGCCCAGTCAATTTCCAGAATTTCACATTCCAACATTCCTGAATGGGAGAGTGTAGCCATCTTTCAGCCGACATCCAACCAATTTGTTGACAGGTTTTTTGGATCCGAAACTATAAGGCCTGTCGACTTTGCTGAAAGGAGTATTTCTCTTGTAGAAGCAGGTGGGGCAAATTTGAGTGAAAAGGATTCAGAGGAGCAGTTCGAGAATGACATATCTGTAGGTTTGTCCATATCTCAATCCACGGAGGACCCAGAGTTGTGTCTCAGCTACAATGGAATTAGAAAAGTTAAGGTCAATCAGGTTAAGGATTCTGAAACTGGAATCTACGGCCTGAAGATGAATAGCTTTGACAGGGAAAATCATATTGATATGCATAGTGCTCTGGCTTATGACAGGCAAAATGAGATGGCCATTATACCAATGGGACAGGCCTACGGTAAGGACATCGAGAATGTCAATTTAATGAGGCTCACAGAGGAAGGTGCTCAAATCAGATCAAGGGACTCTACATATAATAAGGAAGATCCTACTGTTATCTCTGTAGCTGATGTATATAAGGAGGAAGGCAACATTATCTCCTTTGATTGTTTTAACTATGAACGGGACATCGTCCCTGTAGGAAGATCAGTTGGTGACTTAGATGAGTCTGACAGTCGGTCTTCACTTCAAATATCAAAAGCAGATGGTAGGAAGCAGGTGGCTGCTTCAAATGTCAATGTCACAAGGGTGGTCAAGTCTAGAAGTGATTTTGTTTCCAAGAATAAGCCAGAGTCAAAACCATCTAGAAAAGAAGCCCCTAATAGCTTCCCTTCAAATGTCAGAAGCCTGATATCTACTGGCATGCTTGACGCTGTTCCAGTAAAGTACGTTTCTGTGTCACGTGAGGTAACCTGCCTTAGATTGTTTCCATTCATTCATTTCCGTTCATTGCTGCTGAGTGACTTATAGTCATAATACTCCATAAGGAGCTTCGGGGAATCATAAAGGGTTCTGGCTATCTTTGTGGCTGTCAATCATGCAATTATTCAAAGGTAAGACATTTACTACTGCATAAGGAGATGATAGAGTCATACTCTATAGAGAGCTTATACTTTGTCAATTTTTGCTGTAAGGTGCTTAATGCTTATGAATTCGAGCGACATGCCAGTTGCAAGACAAAGCATCCGAACAATCATATATATTTTGAGAATGGGAAGACCATCTATCAAATAGTTCAAGAACTACGGAGCACTCCTGAGAGCATCCTGTTTGATACAATTCAGACTGTGTTTGGTGCACCAATTAATCAGAAATCTTTTCGCATTTGGAAAGGTAAAATAGATATCTTTCTCAGAATTATATCCAGTTTATGTCCCTCCCTCCCTCCACCTTCAAGAAATCCTTTGATCTTTTGTAATTACTGCAGAAGGTCCTTTAACCCTGCAGATTAAATGTGAGGATTAGCTACTGTGGGTAAACCGATGAATTTTATAGATTAACGTTTAACCTTTTACCAGGATACGCATGAGTATCCCTCCTCGCCTGTATAAAATTCTCCTGATCTTTCCTGACAATCTCAGGATGGAGGCACTCTATTCACTAACTGCAAGTTTGCTTTTCCTTAACTTTTTGGAAAATTGGGGAGTTTTCGCATAAAGTTACCATGGAAACTTCTCATTAAGACACCGCAAGTTTTCTTGTCAAAGTTTAAGAATTTTTGTTGTTTCAGCGAATTGTACCTTCTTTGCGAGTCCGACAAGTTCATTTTCCTGTTTTCCAGAATCTTACCAAGCAGCAACTCGTGAGCTTCAACGAATTTATGGGAAGGAGGAGTCAAAACTGTGAAAGGAGTCTCCACTGTGAGTCTCGAGGAAGTCAACTTGTAATGTAGTGCAATCTGAATGCGGCTATTGTGCATAAAGCATGTCAATCTTCAGTAGTTCTGTGCCTTTTTGGTTATTTTCCTCCATCAGTTTCCCCTTTTCTTTTCAATTTGTAGATTGTATAAACATTAGCTTCTTCTGTGGACAAGTAGCTACAATTGAAAAAGAGGCAGTGCGTGTATGTTTTGGATGAATCACATGATAGCCCTCCTAGTGGTTCTCGGTTGAAGCTACTTGCAAGTGAAGGTTTGTAAATTGCCCTGATAACGAAAACCTCTGGACGAGTCTTTATGGTGTAACCTTTCATTTCTGCAAATTAATGGAGACATCAGCTTGTGTGGCAACTGGCAAGCAGTGCTACATTCCCTTCTTGATGGGTCTGCCCTATTTGAATGAGAGTTGTCGGCTGGGGCTTGTCGCGCTACCAGCGATCCATTAAATAATTTTGATCGTCCAACATTTGAAAGGTCCACAAGGCATCTGTCAAGATGGTACTGTGAATAATGGTTGATCGCAGAATTTGCTTTACTTGTTTCTGTCAATCTTATTACATGCTGCTGCATTTTTTTGCGGTACAAGAATCTCGGGAGCTAGAATGGTCTTGTCAAAATCCTGACTAAAGGGAAAGGCAGGAAAATCTACGAACGTGTTCTACAGATATCGTGGAATATATTTGGTGGTATCGTTGATTTCTGAAAAAGTGCACCATCCTTCATTGTCGAGCTGTAAGGGTCGGTGCTTGGCACGGTACGGGCTTAAGCTGAAAGCGGCTAGAGAGGTTCTCATTAGATCTATGATTTGCTAACAGCAATTTTATCGCACTTTGTTCTTTGCTTGAACCCCTCTTGTGGACTTGTCGAATCAATGGGCAGTTTGGTTTAGGCTTTCACCGATTCCCAAAACGACCAAATACGGACGAGATATATGTTTTGGTGACCCGACCCGAGACCTGAACCGGGAAGAAACCGAACCGAAATGACAGTTCAGGTTGGGTTGGTTTATCGATTTTGTGTGCTGTGTGTTTTTTTTCCCTCCTCCCCTTTCTTCTTCACATTTCTCTGTACATACAACGTGCTCTGTACACATCACCATGGATCATCTCCAGATCGAGAAGCAAGCTCATGATCGAGAGACAATCTTCACCAGCAAGCTCACTCTCCTTTATTCTAGGGCAATCACAAGCCATCGGCTCGTTGTTAGATACTTCAGTGCCCTCCGAAGCGACAATAGGCGACATCAGATACCATCTGTCGATGGTTTGTTCAACACGGGAGGGTCATGAGAAAACCCTGAGAAACTCAATCACATTTTGTATGAGCATCAATCTCATATTTCATTCTTGACACGCACAAGAAACCCCTTTCCAATTCCGCAACAGGACCAAAGCAGAGAGAGCAAAAAGAAGAGGGAACGTCGGCCATATAGAATAAACACATTCGTCTGCCGCCACAAGGTAAAAATGTTTTAGAATTCGAGAACCTACTTTCCACACACTATAAGTCCATCTGGAAAGAATCACAATTAGGAAATTACAAACACCGCGTGATCTTGTCATCACAATTAGTTTTTCCCCTTTGCCATTTCTCCCTTTTCAAGCCAGTGTCAAAGCCATCACAAGCTCCCACTCCTTGCATCTTTACGAGCCACAGCAAGCAGATCTCGGTGCAGCCTGACCAGCTCCAGATGCTTGGTCCGGTTGGTTAATCTTGATTGTTGAAGGATGCTGGAATTACAGAACCAAAGGAAGGAAATTAAAAAACATAGACGCCGGGTTTAGTTCGGAATAAGGTTCCTGAGTAGAGTAAGAGAATGAAGATACCTCAGCCTTAGAATCTGTGTCTGAAAGCCTCTGCTTTATATCCCTCGCTATCGAAAAGAACACTTGTTCCACATTAAGATTTGTTTTAGCACTCTGCAGGAAAATGCGTTTCAGCGTACAACTAGGACTTGCAATTAGATAAAGCCATCAACAAGCTTCTACTTACAGTCTCGAAGAACTTAATTCCATACTCATCAGCAAGTGCTTGGCCCTTGGCGGTTGGCACAGCCTAAACATGATCAGAAATATCACGAGGACAATGAGCAAGTAGGTAGATTAAAAAGATTCATATCCTTCTTTCCCTATTTCTTTCCTTTTTCTGAAGAAATATCAGAAAGCTTATATTATTAGCCAAGCATGATAGCCAGACATGGATGACAGATTCATCAGAAGAGCATCGCCAGAGTGAAGGCAATTGTGTTTTCTATTGAACTTGCGGCGAAAGCACTCTTATCTCTGTGCTAGGATGCATAATATAACCAAAGAGATTTTGAAAGATAATAAGCGTAAGATGCAACATACCCTTTTGCTTTCGTCCATGTCAGCTTTGTTCCCAACCAGTATCTTATTAACATTGTCAGACGCATGCTGTTCAATATTGCGAATCCAGTTCCTTATGTCTGAAAAATGATATAATGCCATGTCTATTATGAGATGCAAATTCCGAAAAACTTCAAATGCTACAGAAAGTTTAAAACCAACATGCACCAAATTAATACACATTGGATCAAAGCAGTAAACACGGAAAGAAAGATGCAAACAGACTTATCACCTACATACAAAGTTTGTTACAACAAGGGAGGGAAAGAAAGTTACTGTTGAAAGATGATTCGTCAGTCACATCGTAAACCAGCAAAATACCCATGGCTCCTCGATAGTAAGCTGGAAGGTAGTGGAAACAAATGTAGCTTATATGAGCGTAAATTTTGGTAATGATTTATGTAGTATAATAGAATAGAGAAACTTAGATAGTGAAGCAGCAATCCAAAGCGAGGCTCAAATATGAGTAATAAATCGAATAGCTGAAAAATTAGCATGAACAAGGATCTAGCACCACCACGTCCACAACTTAATGCCAGTGATGCAGCTTATAGCAAATCAAATTATAAAATATGGAAAATCATCGCTACCTGATTAGGACACATTCTGCAAGGAGCAACCACAGGACTGTAGTGCCATGTGTCCAATGTCCTAATACCCAACATCCAATATAGAGACTAAGACACATTTACCAATAGGCAAGTAACTCTAATTACATCTCAAAGGCCGGTAAAAAGGCAACTATCGGTGAAACTGAAAACCTTGACTAATACATCAATGAGCCATGTGTTGGTCGTTTAGCTCGGCCAGAAAACCCTGGCCCCTATACTCAAAGAGAACCGCAAAAGCTCAAACAAAGCAATATATCAACCTGAGAGCAATACACCCCATTATCAAATTACAGACAAGCTGGCAGCCAACAAGGTATATTTTTCTTTAATTATATCTTAGCTGCAGTTATGCTGGAATTGTGCCTTCTGTGTTTTAACCGTAACAGGATGTCTCCCAAAGATTTACTAAGTTTCCATGAAATTAAGTTTAAAATGTCCACACTTCAATAGGACATTCTTTCCAACAAAATCCACAATACAATAAGCCAAACTTTGCATTGAAGTGTCTATTTTTTTTCTTGGCATAATTTACCTGGAAGTTAAGGCCGATCGATTTTTTGTCTACTATTTTTCAGGAGAATTATCTTGACATCATAATCTGTATAATTGCCAGATTGATTCCAGTATTCCACACAAATAGTGTTTTGGCTTTGGCCAGCCTTTAGAGCTATATTAATCTTCTGTAGTGGAGTCCATTTTCCAATATTTGCAAAACCTTACCAGTGGTGATTGTACGAAACCGCTCCTGACCAGCAGTATCCCATATTTGAAGCTTGATTCTTTTTCCATCAAGCTCTATAGTCCTTATCTTAAAATCTATGCTGCATTAGGTACAAATGGCATGCAAAGATCAGTGAAAAGCTAATGGGAAAAAGAAACTGAGTTCAAGGAATACACACCCAATTGTGGTGATAAAACTCGTTGTGAACGAACCATCTGAGAATCGCAAAAGGAGGCAACTCTTTCCCACACCTGGCCAAGGTACATAGTACCAGGTGAGGATTTCAAGCATTTGGAGCAAAAAAATCATAATCAGTATCCCACGTTAAAGCAAAATGATTACAGATCTCAAAGATGAGGTTGTACTCGTACGATTTCTAACCACCGAGCTATAGAAGCACTAAGGATCAAGCTAGCAACAGCAAGCTCCAAATTCATAGTCAAACAGCATTGAAAATCAAACTATCAAAATGGAGGTCAATCTTGGTAGAGTCACGACTCATTCCAATTTCCAATCCCTCACCATAGCAATGACAACACGCCATACTCAACATACCAGCTGTAAATTTCGTAGCAAGTTCAGCCCAACTGCAGAAATTCTCTCCCGACCCCTAAACCCCCACTCCCATCCTCCCAAACACCATGAAGGCCAGCTCCCACCGCACGAGGCAATGGAAGCCCCTCTCAAACGGCATATAGCGCGAACAATACCGCCTTCCCACCGGACCACGACCAAAATTTTCTCGGAATGGCAACGGGCGGGGGCGGAATCCAACAACACAACCAGCAACCCAAGCACGGTGGCAGAAGACAAATGCCCGGGCTCCCTCTACCGCACACAACTAGAGGCACGATGCATCCCACCGAACGAACAGTGTGAATTGATGAATGATCATCCGCGTGTAAACTAGGGTCGAGTTCATCACATGCCCATTCCGAAAACAAGACTTCATCAGCAATTTCCATTTCAATGTCGCCATTTCCCCGTGTCGAATCCCCAACATCAACAGATCCGTACCGAAGCGCAGAGTCGCACGCCCCCCTTCCTTATTCATCTCACCCCCAAAAGAAATAAATAAAAAAAATGAAAAAACAAAGACGGACCGAGCTAAGACCTGTCTTCACGCGATCAAGCCGCGCGAACACTTGCACATCTAAAGATCAAAAATCAGGTTAGCGCGGACGGAGATCTGCGACTCACATCCTCCAAAACTTCGGCCCCTAGAGAGAGAAAGAGAGACAGAGAGAGAGAGAGAGAAGAAGAAGAGGAAGGAGGAGTACCGCTATCGCCGATCAAGAGGAGCTTGATGAGGTAATCGTAATCGGCCCGTGCCCTCGCCGGTGGAGCCGCCATTCCAATCCCCAGGTAACCTGCGCGGAGGAAAATCCCGGCGCCGCGCGCGTCAACACAAGAAGGTCACGGCGAATCGGTGGAAGAACACAGCACAAATCGAAATCGCGGAAGAGAGAGAGAAGAGAGAGAGAGAGAGACCGACCCGATCGGAGACGAAGAGATTCTAGAGAGAGAGAGAGAAGGAGAGAGAGAGAGAGAGAGAGGGAGAGCGAAGGTCTCCAAAGTGTCAGAAATGGAGGTCCATGCAGATTTAGAGAGAGAGAGAGAGAGAGAGGGGGGGAGGGTGGGGGCCGAAATAGGGGAGGAACAACCTTGATCGGTTCACCACCCGCAAGGCGCAAGCGAAGCTGCTCCGACAATGGTGGGTTTGCTAAAATGCGCACCCTCTCTCTTCTGCGCCTTTGCGCCTTTGTTTTCCCTCGTTTTTTTCCTTTCTTTTTTTCCTCTTTTTTCTTGGTTTTGCCTCTCCCTCCTGATTATAGTCGATTTTCTCCCTTTATCTGGAAAAAGGGGAAAAAAAAAATGAACAATTCCTTCATTCTTTTTTCTCGCCCTCTTTTTTTCTTACATAATTCGCCGGGGGTGCGTCACCCACTGGCGCACTCTAGCAACTCGGGCCACCCACCAATCGGGAAGACTTCTCTCCTCTCTCTCTCTCTCCAACCCATTATCACCAAATTGACGCCATTGCCACCAAAACAAATGTTCATGGGAGAGAAAGGCCTGTCCAACTCCGACGGGTGATCCGTATCGGGTTTGAACCGGGTCGAAAATGATCCTAATTAAAATGACCCATTTAACCCGTTTTCATGCAATATAAATATAGTGAGTCGTACCAGACCCGACTCATACTCAACTCATACCCGACTCATATCCAAACTGAAGTGAGAGCGCATGAGATCGAGTGAAGGCGAGAGAGTCATAAAGGTAGATTGGATGTAAATTGTGAATCCATTTAATACTCATATTATTTTGGATTTTACCATTATAAACTCATTTATAACCCATTTATTATGTATAACTAACCCATATAATAACTTGGGTCATCAAATATGAGTAAACAAATGGGCCTATGATCCATTTTAACAGATATAATCAACGGTATAAAAGTCACAGTAGCGACAAATTTTTATACTGTGCATTATTTTGTATTACGCATTAATTAGATCCTTCGACGGTTAATATTGTCCGCGAATCTTTTCATTCGATTTAATCTCTGAACTATTTAAAATCGATTCAATGTCGCGTCTTTCATCCTGTGCGGTCCTGATCACACGACTCTTTCCAACCCATTGGATACCCACTATCTGGCGATGCAAAATCCCCGCGTCCTAACTCGATTGACCAAACCCTCGAGATTTTTGGATTTATTTATTTTTTTCTTTTATCACCGTGACAACCGGAGCAACCTGGAAGTGATCGAAATCAATCGTATTCTATGGACGGCATGTATTCGAAACAATCTTATTTTAGCTCGAACTCAAGATTGAATATCGAGCAATTGAAATGGTCTCGAAGCGCGTGCTGTGGCAAAGTCCCCAAACATTGCAAATCAAACCCACCCCCCCAACTGTATGTTGGGCCTGGGCTTATTTTTTTTTTTAACTCTTTTGCCTTTTCCTTAGGTCAAGGGCCTGTGAGCCTCTCTGTTCGCGACAGTCGTGTCGCTTTACCGTTTCCCGCGATAGTGGGGAACCAAGTCAACTTTGACCGGACCAGACCGCACGTGCCTTCTCGGACCGCGACGCCGTCTCCTCATTGATGCCGGTCGTCGACCGGCGACATAACGGTGCCGTTAGCGTGGTGGTGTTCTTCATTTTTATTCAATATTCCTGTATTTTTTTTTTTTCTGATGTCAACTATGTCTTTTTTTCCCTTTTCGACTTAGGGGATTCCAGTACCGATGCATACGGGAACGGTCGTGGATCGCAATGTAAGCGCCATGTCAATGCTGACTGAGTTAACTTGTTATGGATTTTTTAGAGCGACAGAAAACAAACGTTAAACGTGAAGCGGCGGCTTTGCCCAAGCATCGATGAGGACCGCCGAGCGCTTGCTAGACTCTAGCCGACCACGGCTAGGCCGTCACTGCCTCCGATCAAATCACGCGCGGAAATAGGGACAAGAGGAGAGACAAAGGTGGGGAGAGAAGTGATGGTGGCTCCGACCACCAACATGGCCGCTTGAAGCGAGGTCGAGCAAACCCTAGTCGGCCTCTGCCTGGGGTTGTCGAGACCCCGACAACCACTAGACTGTGACCACTGGCCCCGCACGTGGTGCTGGTGCTTGTCAGGGTTGGTGGTTTCTCTCTCTTTTCGATTCCAAATTATACGCTTAACCTCTCGATCGATTTATTATGAATTGCATTGTATCGAGTTTTCATGCAAAGCAATCTCATGCATCTCTGGTTAATTTTCATCTACCAAAACTTCTTGTATGCTCGAACATTGCATCTTTCCATTGATTCTCTTCTCATTTCGCTTTTCGTTAATCGTTGCAGTAGTTGACACTCGACTCCCTCCGGCAGGCACGAGGCATGATGGCAAAACCAAACACAAGGGTGACACAGAGGACTACGCCTTTCGATCCAATTATAAAGAGAGGCAAGTAGCTTTGCTATTTCTTTATTTAGGAGAAATAATATGATATGGGTGAATAAAAAAATTCATGTTCCATGTGAAATGATTGGGTTATGCAGAGCGATTTGGGATTGCCTGTCCAAATGCAGAGTGATCTTCTGGTCAGAAACATGATTGGTGTATTTTCTTTGCATAAAGCATGCCAATTGGCTTATTATTGCATGCTTTTTCTCAAACCCTTCCATAAATCAAAGGCTCTATTAATAGTTCCAACCAATCACACCATAGCGATAATCCAAACGAAGACGACTGCTATGGAATCAACTCATCAGATGATAAAGAATGATAAAACCACCCGGAGCATATGGTCTGTCAAGATTGCAGCAGCAACACGATATTATAACAAAACAAGGCAAACAAAATACCGTTCAATCACTGTACACCATAATAGCACGTGCACTCGCTATTCACCAATGCCGTAGCACTTTTCTTATAACTACATGAATATCACCGTACATTTACGCGCATCTGTCTTATAAATGGGCATATGCCTTCACTCGCTTACTTGAGAACCCTTTTTTCAGAGTAGAACTTTTACATCGTAACTCTTGTAATTGTAGAAGAGTTCTCTTTGAACATATCATTTACCATTTCTTTCGTAACTTTCTTATCAATTTAATATCAATAACACCATCTATGTTGATGGTTTTATCTTCTATCTTACAACATCTATTATTTTATTTCCCACAGTTATTGATCACTCATTGTAACTACACGAATATCATTGTACAATCAAACGTATTTGTAGTTTAAATAGGCATATGCCTTCACTCACTCACCTCGGGACCCTTTTTTCATAGTAGAACGTTTACATTGTAACTCTTACAACTGTAGAAGAGAAACCCTCCCGGCCTTCCCCTCTACACTTGTATCTTGAAGTTCTTTGTAAGTTCTAAATTGACAAATCATTTACCATTTCTTTTGTAACTTTCTTAAAGGACAAATGGCTGTGATTGAACAGTGATATCCGTGTAGTTACAGTAAAAGTGCTACAATAAAAGACAGTGAGTGATCGGCAACTGCAGAAAATAAAACAGTAAACGCTGTAAGATAGAAGGTAAAAACCAACCACGTAGATGGTGATGCTGATATTAAATTGGTAAGAGAGTTTCAAACGAAATGATAAGTGATTTGTTCGAAGAGAACTTACAAAGAACTTTGGTGCATTTTAGAGTTTCTCTTTTATAATTGTAAGAGTTACAATGTAAAAGTTCTACTCTAAAAAGAGGGTTCCGAGATGAGTGAGTGAAGGCTGATGCCTATTTATAGGACAAATGCGCATGATTGTACAGTGATATCTGCTTAGTGCTAGTGTAAAAGTGAATAGTACAGCCAGTGTTGTTATAGTATTAAGTGATTTCGCTATAATGATTGAGCAGTGTTTGTCCGTCGTATATAAAATATATATGTATGTATAAAGGTCTACACATGCTAATGATTTCCCAACTGATGATACGGAACACCCATTTGCTTGCACTTAACCATGTAACTATTTAATCTAAATTTTGCGGCTGACACAATTACATTTTTTCGCAATACTTAGATATTGATATGCAGATCTACATATAACTTTTTGTGACTTTCTTATTGTGAATAATATTACAAATTTTGACCGGCTTTTTATTTTTATATGAGTAAAAAAATGCCATTTTTCGAATAAATAAATAATTGCTCGCTCGAGTTTCGCACAATCGTCTATTCTTTTACTCCACCTGCCTATCGAAAATGTTTGCGTGGATGAAAAACTGAGTCTTCCGTGATGGTCAACGCGCGTTAAAAAAGTACGCAAAATTTGTGTTTGACCGTTTATAATTAAGTAGATGTGCATATTTATAAAAGAAAAAATTCCACTTAAATTGTGAATTTCACAAACACTATATACACCAAGAAAAAAGGCAGTTTCGATTCATAAATACAGTAAAAAGACTATTTTTTGACGAACTTGCTTCGCCCGCTTGCTCTCTATAACTTTTGGTCGAATCTCTTTCCCCTAGAATCATGGATGGCTGGCTTGCGACTCGAGCCTAGTCACCTGAAGGTCTTCCGATGCACGTTATCTCTTTCGGTGTCGGGTTAAAGTAGACAAAGAATAATGCATCTGGCCGAAAGAACGACACTCGGAAAAAGAACAAGAGCATGATGATCGGTTCAAAATAAATCCCAAAAGAGGTGATGAAATTAACCCGACGTGCACAGGTAGTGGCAAAGAGGGTTGCCACAAGTTTTGGGGGAGCCCCACCTTTTTCCAAGTCAATCGTAATCAAGAGCTCAACAAAAGAGAAAATTGACAAAACGAAAAGGGTAATTGGAAGACAAAGATGGGTCAGCAAAGCAATCAGATTGGTAATGCTTCAAGCATATGCTTGGGAAGATCCCCCTCTCTCTCTTTCTTTTCCCATTCTCTCTTCCCCTTTTAAAAGCTCAGGAACTTCATCGTTTGTCACTCTCTCCGAGCCCCGGGAATCCCTTTCCCGGCGGCTTCCATTCCCACCCAAAGTCCCCTGCTCTCTCTGCCGGCATCTCTGGCGAAGGGCGGTCGTGGCGCCGAGATCCGCCACGGCGGCGGCGGCGATGACGGATGCTATTTTTTGAAAGAATACTAGCTCTGTTGTAGGCGTTCGTGATTTTGGGCAACTAAAGGACCCTTTGGCATTTCGTTAGTGCATCAGCAGTTACTTTCAGGTTGGTTCGGCCAATGTTCTTTCTTTGTTTCTTCTCTTTCGACTCTAATTTCTAGGTTGGTTTTGATTTTCATGGTTGATTTTGATCATTACAAGCAGTTAATCAGCCCATGGCAGAGGAGGTGAGACATACAAAGGCCAATCACGTTCGAGTTTGTTGTTCCTCGGACCCGGGTGTAATATCATCACAGGTCGATCGTAATGTTATTAGCTGAATCTTCTTGAATCGTGTTTAAATTTCTTCATGATGTCAAAGCTACGAGCCTCTTTGATGAGTTTTACTTTTTATTTTTTGTCAAGATCCAACCCGAGAGAAACATAAAAAATACTTCCAAGCAAAACAAATCCCAAACAGATGCAAAACGAAACAAGGCCCAGGAAACAAAAGAGTACGGCCTGCAGTTATGAGCACACTCTTATCTCAAAAGATCGGATCTATTAAGGTATCAAAAAACAATCGGCGATCAGTGATGAAGACACGTCGAGATCTTCTCCTTCCAGAAACTAGGGCTTGCAGTGTACACCTAGATTCGATGCCCTCAACACAAAGACGGCAACAGCATCTTGAACCACCATAGATCAAACCCTTAAAAGATCTAGATTTAGATCGGGAGAAAAGAAACGGATTTAGATAATCTAAATCTGGAGATGAGAGCTTTTGTCGAATTTTGAAGAAGTCTTACAACCACGTCCCGGGCATCCTACTGGGTAGACTGGTGATGACATTCTCTCGAAGTTTTTAACTGCAAGCAGGTTTATTTGCCACGACGAGCAACAACAATGAGCGAAGAAGATGCCAAACAGAGTGAGAAAAGACTCCCAAATTAGATCATAAGAGAAAAAAAGGGAAATCAAAGCCTAAGAAAAGAAAAACAAAGCAAAGCATGATGAATGATGTGTATGTGGGCCTCATTAGGGCGAAATTGGACGTCCTTCGGCACTTCTAACGTGATAAAACTTTGTGCACTATTCCAAGGAAATGGGGACTTAGATTAGTCTACCGTTAGTCGTAACAGTAGGATTCGATTCTAGTGGGCCGACGAGGCTCGACAGGGCAAAGCATGTAGAGTTTAAAAGGAGGTGGAAGGAAATGAAAGAGCATATGCCCTTATCTGTACTTGTGATGGGGCCTCTGTGCCAGCTCGCACTATGAATTACAACTGGGTGATCAATGTATCAAATTTGTGTATATGCACGGTCGGTTGGCATTAGAAGGGAATAATGATATGCCAAAAATGCATAATCCAGGCCCATCTAAAAGTGGCCTTTGGTCCAATTTGGCCCTCGATGGCCTTGGCAGACCCGTGATGGTCAGCCTCATGATCGGGTCTAGTGATTGCACATGTCCAAACTATTGCGGATCCCATCTCGAGAGGAAAAGGCGAAAAATAGCCAATGGATCAATTGGGACGCACACAAGCCCAAAGACAACGGAAAATAATTCTCCTCCATTGTTCTTCGTCGTGCATTGTATCGACGAATATTATGGATAGATTGTATGTAAACGCAGCGATACATATATATCATAATCCATGTGTTTTGCGGAAAATGACTGATGTGGAAAATATTTTTCAAAAAATGATCGGTTGTATCACTCGAAATAATTAGTCAATGACAAATATTTTATATTATCGATAATAATTCATGTATAAACATTTTTATGAATGATGAAAATATTTTTCGTTCTTCATTTTTGTAAACGATACAGGTAATTATTTTAGGAGAATAATTTCTAAACTAATTATTTTTCTGGAAACAAACGAAGTTTAAGACTCAGTTACAATGCCAATAGTCAACATATACCGATAGTACGAGCCAAAAGCATGACCCTAACAGGCAGAAATTGCCGAGATAAAATACCTTTTTAATTTATTTTTGTATAACACCAAAAATGTTTTCCAAACTATTCATTTTCAATAAAACAACTGGAGCTCGAGTTGCTCACACGTTACTCGATGTCACGGACAGGCTAATATGCACAATGAGAGGGACGAAACGACATCATTTTCTCTTTGGTCAGATCGAAGGGTTTGGACCGATTGAATTATGGCTTCACAAATGAGATGCAAATTATGAAAGAATCGGAAAATTAATTTTTTTTCTCGCACTTTGCAAATCTTAAATATTCAAGATTGCATTCACAATGAGATTGATTGAATGCAATATTAAGGCCCACGAGCCGTCTTATAGCACCATCGATTTATATTTTCGAGTCATGTGTCGAGATCGAAACCTTAATCGAGCTCCACCATTAGCCATAAGAGCTTCGATCCTATACCTCGAATGTTCTTATTTCAATGTCCATTTCATCTCTCTTCTCTAATTTGGGACCAACTAGAACATATGTTAATCTCAAGCCAGTTTAAATGATCGAAAACAACGCCATTTCCGTGCTTTTGAGGAAAAATGACATCATTTAATGATTTACTCGCTATGCACATCAATATTGTTTGCCACGTCTTTTGAGCGGACTGTTTTTTTTTTTAATTAGATGAGTGGACTTTAAGAATGGCTATTTTTATCTCGAGTAAGAGTACATATCTTGTTTGGCACGCTTGAAAATCGAAGCCGAATTTGTTGCAGGAGTACAATGATAATTAACCATAAAAGGTATAAGTCATACACATACTCATATCAACAATATGCCATGATAAAAATATTATTCAGTGAAAAATAGTTTAATTTTTTTATATATAAGGCCGGCGACATGTGAAATTTTATAACATTTATTGAAATTTAAGATTTTTATAAATTCATTTAAAAAAAACCCCAAATATTTTGCTTTTGGTCCGCCTCATCCTATGACAAGTCAACAATCCTCGTCCCATTTATATACGTAAATTTAATCCTAGCCCTCGATACAAGAACCCCCTCAGTCTCAATCGGACGCTCTTAAAGCCGCCAAGTCAGAGATCCGCGAGCTCCCCTTCCATCCAATCAGATCCGATCTCTCACCCCTATATAATCTCTCGACGAACCCTCATTCTTTCTTCATCTCATTCATTCTCAAGATCGCGGCACGCATACGCTTCGATCCACTTCCCTACCATCTCCTTCCTCCAATTTCTCATCCGAATTCCTGATGGCCCCGAAGGCGGAGAAGAAGCCCGCGGAGAAGAAGCCGGCGGAGGAGAAGAAGTCGGCGGCGGCGGCGGCCGAGAAGGGCCCGGCGGAGAAGAAGCCCAAGGCCGGGAAGAAGCTCCCCAAGGAGGGCGGCGCCGCCGACAAGAAGAAGAAGCGGGCGAAGAAGAGCGTGGAGACGTACAAGATCTACATCTTCAAGGTGCTGAAGCAGGTCCACCCGGACATCGGGATCTCCAGCAAGGCCATGGGCATCATGAACAGCTTCATCAACGACATCTTCGAGAAGCTCGCCCAGGAGTCCTCCCGCCTTGCCAGGTACAACAAGAAGCCCACCATCACCTCCCGGGAGATCCAGACCGCCGTCCGCCTCGTCCTCCCCGGCGAGCTCGCCAAGCACGCCGTCTCCGAGGGCACCAAGGCCGTGACCAAGTTCACCAGCTCTTGAGGTGGTGGATCATCTGTGGATTGTGGTGGCGTTTGGTAGATAGGCTTAATTTTTAGCTGATTAGGGTTTAGAACGCAATTCGGCTGTTTCTTTTTCTTTCTTTTTTTTGCGTTTTCCGTTTTTTATAAAGCGTCGTATGAAGTTCGGATCCAGTTGTGAATCACATATGAACGATTGGTCAATGATAGATCTCTCATGACTTTGTTAATTGCTCTTCGACTCCACTTTCCTTGCATCCTCAAGTTCTTTTAACTCTTTTCGAAGTGTGAAATGATCAATCGAAGTTGCATTTCTCTTCTTCTTAATGAAGGTTGTCATGAGAATGGGTATGAATTTCTCAGTCTTTTAAGGTGGTAGTTGTGGGATTGGAAGGTTGGTGGTTTGATTGGAGTATTTTGTGAAACAGCTCTTGTAGGCATCCTTTTAAATGATAATCACCGCCCTTATTCTTAAACTGTAACTCCAATTCATGTATGCCATCCTTTTTACTGGATTGCATAATGTGGAAGTTCAAGTAAAGAAGTTATAGAGGTGCTTGCTGATTCATTATTCAACTAATGGGTCTCTCGGGAATTTGGTTGGATGATTTCTTGCATTTGCTAGGCCCAAGTTCTGTGAAAGACATGTCATCTAAGGTTGATACTGTGATGCAGTGGATTTGCTGTTGCTGCAAAGTTGAGGGCAGCATATGTTCTTCTCTTTGAACAAAAGGGGCGTCTCTTATTTGGTCCTTGATGCCTTTTGTTGAATCATTTTGAAATGACTAATGGCTATCTGAGGCGCTTTCATGATGGGGAATTTTATGGAATGCTTAGAGGGATAATCAGCTATAAAGAAAGGATATTTTGCTAAAGCCCTCCCCAAGCCAAACCAAAAGAAAGGGGTTTTAAGGAAGGTGATTTATGTTGCTATTGCTTACTTGTTTAGGGGGAAATCTGATTTTGGGATGGATTTTAGAATAACCTGTCTGTTGCTGTAAAAACATTTGTGCGGAGTATGATCTACATTTTGGGCTTAAACCCTAAATGTGCGATGTACTTGAGGAAAGTAAGTATGATTTCTTCTCTTCTGAAGACATAAGAAACCTCAAAAGTAAAGTGATGACTCGCAGTATGGACTCAGTCAAGCTCCATTTTCTTTGGCCGGACCTTGTCATTTTTGAACAAGTAAGCATCGTCCCCCAGTTCAGGAACTGAGTTTATAATAACAGTCGGAAAACTATGGCCCCTATTCTTTTAAGTGGTCTGAACTGCTTGCTTCCGAAGATCATCATCATCACACATGGCCAGTCGATCCTGCTGCGAGCTATTTGTCAGTAGTAAAACTCCCTCCCTCTCTCTCTGTCTCCAAGTCATTTATCCTGAGTTAGTCACCCTTTAGTCTCGTGCATATCTAGCTCTGCTTTACTTTTTTCTTTCCAGTATTGTTCCTTTCAAATTATTTAGGATTGTCATGCTACACCTTGGAGAAAGGACTGAGAAGATTACTTTCACCATTCGGCTTAGAACGTCTGGCTTGATCCTTATCAGAGATCAACTTTGAGGTTTTATTGACCTTGATATTTGGTCTTTGTAGCCAGGCTGATCAAAGTACTCAAGTACTGGGAGGCCGAAAGGTTTCGGTTTTGCTGCTTATGAATCAGAGGTCGCAGCGGACAGAGTACTGAAGGCCTCAAACTGAAGGGTATTCTACTTGCTTTCAGGTGCCATTGGACGTGATTGTTTTCTATGAAAATCTTGGTTCCTATCAATTGAATTTGGGTTTACCAATGTTTTCGTAGTTTGTGCAGGAGTAATTTATCTGACAGAAAAATAACATCTGCAGAAATTCTTTTGGGTATAATAAATTTGTGGAGTTCCCAGGTCTCTGTAATACTCAATTCATGTCGAAACTATCTTAGTAAGCCTTTCTTACGCAACTATGGATGACCTGTTGGAGCACGACAATGGGATGTAGCCGGGTGTGATATTTCATGATTTTGAGTCTTGGGCAACAGCTTGTATCTGCAAATGGTTTCTCAATAGAGGGGTGATTACACTATTTTTTTGGTGATTGGTTTGTTGGGAAGCGGTATCAGCCTCATTATCTATTTCTATATCACCCCTTTATATTATTTCAGCGGGTACGTATTCAAATTTGTCCTCTAGCAAGGTAGAGTTTATGATCCATAAGCTGCGTTGCATTAGGTAAAGAAAGAAATCGAAACTCTAGTTAAAGTCTTACTTTGTATTAGAGGTTGGGTAATTGCTGAGTTGTGTCAAGTTTGAAGGACTGAGGAGAAATTGCCTCCTTCGTTGAGAATGCATTTTTCTGTTATTTTGCATATGCAATAAGCTACAGGGAGGGTGTCGAAACTGCTTATGGGTGCCCTAATCTCATTTCCATGATTCAACAATTGTCCTCGTAGTCATACTGCTTATTATGGTAGTGCTCAAATTATTTAGGATGTGATTTGGGGTGGTTCTATTGTATGTGAGGTTGCTTTGCTTAACCATTCACAGGACCGATAATATCAGTATACTTCTGTTGTTCAGTTTGCTTTTCTGCTTCTACTCCGATCTCTCTAGTCCTATGAGCTTAGAGATATGTTCTTTGAGAATTTTTTCTTGAAAAGAAGCTGATCCTGTTCGGCAATCAAGATTCTGTTAATACTCTCTCCTCCTTTTCGAGTAAGCAGCTGTGAGAACTTTTAGTTTGTATGCAGATTGTTCTTTTCAGGTAAGCAGTTGTGAGAACTTTTAGTTTGTATGCAGATTGTTGATGGAAGGCTGATCCTGGTGGAATTGACATGAGCTAGAGTACCTACCCACTCATGCGAAAATGCTTGCCGCTAATTTCGCTTGAAGAGTATTCTTTCCAAGCCGCCAAAATCAAAACGGAAGCAGTGATCCATTTTGCATATATCTCCAGTGGGGTTTGGTCTAGTGTTAATATAACAAGAGCAATGGTCTGCAGACTCTGATGCAGTAATTTGTTTCGGGGTTTAGGTTCTTAAAGTTCAAGGAGAAACTTTGTTGCAATGTGCACCTCTTCTATGGGAACGAGTTTCGGTGTTTGTTGTGCAACTCAAGTGGTGTTTAAGCTTTGTAGTATATGCTGCAATATGTCGAGCAGCATGAACTCGAAACAGTCCCTATTATTAATTCTAGTACTGAATGGACAGTTCATTGCTTCGGTATCCTCTTTTTGGACTATGTCTTGCTCGTGGCCGTGCATCTTCTTGCTCCTTCACATTTATGAAAGAGGTCTCCAAAAAGAAGAATCCTTCTGCTTCAAACTCGATCGACTGGTGGATAATGATCGAGAAGTTCTGGGGAAGAATGTGTTCCTATTGTTCAAATGTTGGACGGTATGATTGAATGGAGTGCTTCCTATTTATATAAGTGTCCTTCTAAATACAACTGTTAATCTTATCTCGCATCTAACGATCGAGATTTATTCTCACAAGCTAATCTCATGTACCAATCTAACATAGGGAAGAATTCGACGGAATATGTTGACATCAACTCACTTTCAGTAATTTAAGAATAGCATAACTGACTTACAAAATCGGTATAACTTAAATTATCTGAGAAATTTATAAAAATTAATGGTCACGTTCAACATCCAATTAGAGTTTATCACATCAGTTAGTTTGCTAATTTTGTAAACTAATAAACCCGTTCGATTCCTTATTTACTCTTTCCCAAGATATGAAAACCCAAAAAATATTTAAATCTTTTATAAAATAAAAAAAATAATTCTGTAAGTGCATTTTCATCGCGGTGTTTATATGTATACTTTTCAAATCTTGCAAGTCTTCAATGTCGAATAAAAGACAAATTGCGAATGTCACAAAAACTTTTAACACCAATTAATTTGCAAAACTCGCCACTAATGTTCCTACAAGTACAATACACTTATATTGACATTTGAAATTATATATATCAATTTTATAATCTTCTGGAATTTTTAAAATGAGTTTCTGAAATTTCGGAAAGGCATGTGGGCCCCCCCTCCCAAAAAATTTTGCGCCGACGCCGGCCCCTAGGAAATTTTCAGTTCCCGCCTCGCGGACGAAACGACACATCCGCAACCCGAGCGGCGGAGCCCCTCGCTTGTATGTAGACGAAATCTGAGCCCTCCACACAAAAGTCCAGTCCGCCTCAGATCCGACGCTCCAGACGCCGCCAGGTCACCCATCCGCATGCTCCCCCTCCGATCCAATCACGTCTCATCTCTTCCTCCTATATAACCTCTTCGCAGCGCCTGGTCATACCTTCATCTCAAGGTTATCCCCTCGGAACTCCGACCGCTTCCGTCGTCTCCCTCCTCCGCGGAAAAGAATCGTTTCTCTCCTCGTCCCCGATTCCATTTCCTCGCCGATCCCTGATGGCCCCGAAGGCGGAGAAGAAGCCCGCGGAGAAGAAGCCGGCGGAGGAGAAGAAGTCGGCGGTGGCGGAGAAGGCCCCGGCGGAGAAGAAGCCCAAGGCCGGGAAGAAACTCCCCAAGGAGGGCGGCGCCGGCGCGGCGGACAAGAAGAAGAAGCGGGTGAAGAAGAGCGTGGAGACGTACAAGATCTACATATTCAAGGTGCTGAAGCAGGTGCACCCGGACATCGGGATCTCCAGCAAGGCCATGGGCATCATGAACAGCTTCATCAACGACATCTTCGAGAAGCTCGCCCAGGAGGCCTCCAGGCTGGCGAGGTACAACAAGAAGCCCACCATCACCTCCCGGGAGATCCAGACCGCCGTCCGGCTAGTGCTCCCCGGGGAGCTCGCCAAGCACGCCGTCTCCGAGGGGACGAAGGCGGTGACCAAGTTCACGAGCTCGTGAGCGTGGGGGTAGGGTTTCCCGTGTTCGATGGATCTGTGGATTGGGGGTGGTGTTTGGTAGATAGGCTTAACTTTTTAGCTTGCTAGGGTTTGGATTCTTCTTGGATGTATTTTGCGTGTTTATGAAGCACTATGTGAAGTTCCGGTTCCTGTTTTTAGATTCTGCCCTGGATGGCGAATGAATGAATGATGATAGATCCATTACAACCCCCTCTTTACCTTATCGTTTGCTCTCGACTCTCGATTTTTGCGGTTGCTTCATGTTCTCTAACTGTTTGAAGTGCGAATGTGGGAAATTAAAGTTGCAATTTTTCATCTTTTCGTTGAATGTTGTCATTCAAATTGGTGTGAATTTCGGTCCACTTCAAGATGGTCGCTGTGGGATTTGAAGGGTTGGTGCGTTCATAGGAGTAATTTGTGAAACAACTGTTTTAGGCTCTGTCTTGAAACCATCATAGCTCGTCCTGATCCTTGGACCGCGCCACGGGGTGCAATTTGTCCAATTCATGAAACACAGCTTTAGTACTTGAGAGCTTGTTCGAAACAAGTCTTAACTGATCGGTTCTTGTGTATTAAGCAAATGACTTGTACAAATGTTTGGTAGGCATCGAGTTTATGTCAAGCCTTAGGAGTTGCATGAGGTGGATAAATCAGGTATAGAATTTGGGGAGTTGCTTATTCGTTCGACTGATGGGGTTTCTCTTGGGAGTGTTCTTTAGATGATTTCTTCCATTTTATAAGGCCTGTGTTGGATGAAAGACATGTCTTTTAAGACTGACACTATGATGTAGTGTGGCTCTGCTGTCGCTTCGAAGTTGAGAGCGGCAACCAGTGTGAAGTTACTCCTCCAGTTCTTTTGGGAGAGAATTGAAGGAAAAAAGGGTTATTTGTTATGATGTATTCGATGCCCATTTGTTGCGCTTTTCGAAGAGACTAATGTTTGATGTGCCTGAGGCGCGCCTTCATGTTGGAAGGAAGTAAATATAACTTCATATATAATCGGGGCTTGAACATTATTATATGCTTGAAGAAAGTAAATATAACTTCATGTCAAACTTCTATCTCTAAACAAGGGAGCACATCAACTAACGGTGACATTTTGAGCAACTTGAGGGCAACGATTCTAGCAATCCAAACGGCATCGTTTTGCTCTTGGACACGGTGTAGTCAAGACCTGTTTCAGATTAGATGCGAGCGATTCGTACGGACAAACTGAAGGAAAATTTATGATTGCGAATTCCATATATAATCGGGGCCTGAACACTATCATATGCATGAAGAAAGTAAATATAACTTCTTGTCAAACTTCTATCTCAAAACAAGGGAGCACATCCCCTAATTTAGGAGCTTAGACATAGTACAATTGGAAAACCTTGAGGCCTATACTTTCCATTCATCGAGCTAGTCAAAGCATAGCTTTAGCTTCAGGACATTTTCCTCACGTTGTCAAACACTCCCAACGCTTCCTGCTCTTCTTGCAACCTCTGTCTGTCTCTGTCTCTGTCTGTGTCTGTGTCTGGCTCGAGGAGACCATCATAACCATCATCCGCACATGGCAAAGCGACTCTGCTCCGAGCTATTCGTCAGCAGTAGGAACTCCTCATCACCCCGAGTTATAGTCGCCATTTACTTCCGTTCTGTTCTGACTCTTTCTGATACGTTTCTTTCTTTCCCCTCTTCCAATAAATTCTAGGATTGTCGTTCTACACCACGGAGGAAGGGCTGAGACGATTGTTTTCGCCATTCGGTTCAATTAAGGAAGGTAAGCCCGGCTCGATCCCTTATCAGAGAGAGCACAACTTTGTTCGACTCACCCACCCTTGAGGTTTGATCGACACATTGGCTGGTGTTTGCAGTCAGGTTGATTAAAGACCCGAGTACTCGAAGGTCCAAAGGTTTCGGCTTCGTTGCTTACGAGTCCGAGGTCGAAGCGGATAGGGCATTGAAGGCCTTGAACGGAAGGGTATTCTTCTTCGTCTCCTCCCCTTTCCTATGCCATTGGACATGATTAAATTTACGGTCACCACGTGCTTGATGGTTTGTCTAGAAGTGATTTATCTCACAAAAACTGAGGTTGGTGAAATTTTCCGGGTATAATGAACTCGTGAAGTTTCCTTGTCTCTGGAATACTCGGGCACGTCGGAACATATTAGGAAGCCTTTCTTTGTTATGGATGAACAGTTGGAGCTTGAGCCTGGAATGATTTTGATCATGGCCAGATGAATATGTCATGACTTGGAGTCTCGGACTAGCTTGATAGCTTCGTGCCCTCAAATGGTTCATTGATATGAGGGGTGGTTGCATTGTCATCTCCATGATCATTTTTTGTTAGAAAGCTAAAATGCCCTTATTCTATATTATGGGTTTGGATTAGTTCAGGTAGTTATGTATTTCTAATGTGTTCTCTAGTAAGATGAGTTGTCACAAGCGTTTAGATACTGGGGGCCATAACTTTTCCTTTTCCACGGAGTTTCTGATCGATAAGCGCTGCGGTTCTATGAAACTCTTCTTTCCCAATACGGCAACGTTAGGCAAAATGAAATAGGAACTCTGGTCAAATTCTTACTAGGTATTTAAGTCATACAGTCACTGAATTGTTTCAAGAATGAAGGAATGGGAATAAATTGCCTCCTAGATTGAGGAGGCATTCTTCTGTCATATCGAATTGTGCTACATACACAATGTGAAGTGTGTCGTGACGGCTTATTATGCCCTGCTCTCGTATCCAACATTGAGCAAGTGTTCTCATAGCCATGACGTCTTATATTGAAATTATGCAGAGTGCTCCAATTATTATGGCTGCTGTAATTTAGGGTGGCTCTATTATATATTATGGATGAAGTTGCTTTCTTCCATCTTTTACGAAATCTAATGTACTCTTATTTAGTTCTGCTTCTACTTTGATTTCTTACTCATTCTCCGTACTTTGAGAGAAATGTTCCTTGCAACTGTTTTTTCTTGAAAAGAAGCTGAAACATCGACATCCTTCTGTTGGGCAATAAAAAATCCAGTGATTCTCTCGCTTCTCCAAGTTGGGCTGGACTGAGTATGCACTTGTGAGAACTCAAGCTTAACGATTCGTGTTGATATTGTATGCAGATTGTTGATGGAAGGCTGATATTCGTGGAATTTGCACAAGCTAGAGGGCCTGAAAAGGCTGCCGACTCTCGTGAAGATGCATCAGGCTAGTATTGATTGAAGAGTTCCTTCCGAGGCACCAAAAGGATAATGGAGTCGCAGATCCTTTTCGCATAAATCTCCAGTAAAGTTTCCTGACGTGCTAATAAGAGCAAAAAAGATTAGGATCTGATGCTGATAGTTACATGTAAAAGATTAGGATCTGATGCTGATGGTTACATGTAAAAGATTAGGATCTGATGCTGGTGGTTATATCGACCTTCAATGGGACTCATTCACTGCAGTCAGGTTCTCAGGTTTTCGAGACAAAACTTGATTGCAATGTGCATTATTTCTTCGAGAATGATTTTTCTTTCCTCCTTTCAATAGAATGAAACTTCCATTACTTAAGAAACAAGAATATGCCAAAGCAATGTTGACGCACCAACAAAAACAATCAGTGAATTTTCCTATGGATCATCTGAATGGCATATTCGCTTTGCGCTTCAGCAGGACGTGTTCCGCGCTTGACTCAGCAACTTGTGCAGTACTCTGCCCCTATTTACTGAGAGTTTTTTTAGGCACAATGCGTAGGGTGCACCCAATACATCCTCCGTCCTTGGATTTGGTGGACATAAGTCCTTCGATGCAACTAATGTTCTCTCCCATTTCGTGCAATGTAGTTTCGTTTGTGCTGGAAATTCTAAAATTTAGAGTATCTATTCCAGGCCATTTGAATTGATAACTGAGGATTGCGGACCTAATTAGCCTTCAATTTCCGGAGAAACTCCTATTCGCCTCTCGCAAAGGGTTAGCGTGCTGCCTGCAACGGCAATTCTTTACCCAAAAGCTTATATCAGTTTTTATGGAAGATCGAGGAACAAGTTCATCGCTGTTTCTCAGACATCATATGGATTTCCTCAATCAGATCCAGCACTCTCGCCTTGCAGCATCTTCACAAAGAGAATCTCTAAACAAGGGCAACTCCGTCTTGTCTTCCACTGCAAAATAGATATGTAACACATCTGCGTGGGGTTTAACCCCAGGGGCAAAGTTGCACACCCATTCCTCCATGAGAACATGATTATGTCTAATTTGCAATCTCTCTGGTGTTAGAACTTTTAGAATGTCATATTTCGTCCAAGGAGTATGAACTCAAAAGCAATAATACCATTCATCTTACTAAACAAACTGTTCTTTGTTTGGGAATCCCTTTTTGGACCACGTCTTGATTTTGTTTATCATTTCAAAACATGCTGATCTTCTTGTTTGCCGACAATTATGAGAGGTCTTCAAAGAGAAGATTTTCAAAGTTCTTCCTCGAAACTTGACTGATAAGTAGAAAGGTAGTTCAGTTATTCATTCAAAAACACAGAGATCCTCACAAACCCTCCCAAATAACCAAAATGACATTGCTCTTGTTCATAGACATTGCTCCAAAACTACAATGTCTAGTATGGGAGTATAATTTTTCCTTTAACAAGAAGCAAGAGTTGCACCACCAAATAATCTAGAATGCATATTAAGACCTTGCTCGCTGCCTGGGACAGTGAATACACACAGTCACTGCATTCTTCAAATTTAGAGACATAGAAAAGATACTTCATTGAGCCTACGATGAACGCTTCCTGAATGTAATGATTGAATTGATACTCGGAGACTAGATTGCTGTGCTTCTCCCTCACAAGAAGCTCCCACATTCACGTGTCCTTGCATCTATGAAGCACTTCCTTAAAATTGACCACAATGTGCTTACAAAGAAAGAAAGATGCAGTCAGACTCAGAATCTGCATCTTTCCAACTTTACTGCAATGTTTGTTTTCTGGTCCCCATCATGAATGAGGAATATATGAAACTGGAAAACATCAATGCCTCTAGTATTTACTCTATCACTTGATTGAATCAGTCATCAAATCCACGAAATAACTAGATAAATCTCCAAAGCCTTTTCCTTAAGAACCGCAGTCGATGATGGTCTTAAAAGCCTCACCACCTAATGCATATTTTACCCAGCTACAGTTGAGACCTCCAGAGTAAAACAATGCAATACTGCTCTCATTTGATAAACCTAGCAGTTTTATCATAAAGATAGGTAAATTAATTGTAGTGCACAGCGAATGAAAACCGATTCCTTGTGTTGTAGCATGGGAGGGATCAGCTCCTCAAATAATAATGCATTTGAAAGTGCTTTCATGAAATCGACATGCAATCCCAGCATCCCTTTACTTTAAATCGACACAAATATCATTAATCTAGGACGAGAATATAAAGTAAAATTTCAAAGAATGTTAGTAACCTGCTAATGCTATAGACATGAGGAAGCAGCCATTTGCTAATTTGAAGTATCAGGCCCAGATTCACTGTTCATACGTTTATTGAGAAAGAGGAATGGGAGAGAGAGAGAGAGAGACCTTTATTACTCGCTTGATCGAAAGAAAAAATCGATACAGGTAAATTGTACTGACACATGAGAAAATAGAAGAGGCCACCTTCAATTCCTGTACCACCATCCAATTTGCTTTCACAGGTTTCATGAAGTGTGGCCGTATGGAACATTCAGTCCAGTACAAACAAAAGATCATCAGCTAAATAGCAGTCCATGCAAGTGAAAGAAACTTACTTATATCAATACTAAGATCATCATAGTCCGCCATTTCTCTTCTGCGCATAGTGTACACGAATGTCCCTTCCGTCTAATGACTGCCATGAGAGAATCTAATCAGTACCAGTTTTGTACATTGAAAATGGACTTAACACACTGACAACTGTTAACAGTAATATAAGTAAGTCGGAAATAACTTGCCTTTCCATCCATTTCATTCAGAGCTGTGCTGGCCGCAGCTTCAGATTGGAACTGCACAAACCCATACCCTTTGGATTTTCCACTCACGTGATCACATATCACCTTAACTGCCAAAACCATCAATTTAGTTACCTCAACAAAAGTTCAAGCCACCATGAGAAGAGAACAAATGGAGTTCAAATCTCTCTCCTGACATACCTTCAATTATATCACCAAATTGGCGAAAAGCATCCTTTAGAACAGGTTCGTTAGTATCATAAGAAAGTCCTGCAGCTCGAACAACACTGACTTTAAGAGAGCAAACAACAACAAAGCTCAAAGACTGTCCGTAGAATAGTTTGGCATGCACACACACTTAATTCATCTACCAGTAAAGGATTCCAACAACTTGGCTGAGCCTTGGCATACACATGCTTCACAGATCGTCCAGACATAACCGGCATTCGAAAGAAGAAGAATAAAGCATTCGCTGATTCGTGAACAAAAGAAGGAACATGTTCAAAAGCAATTGTTTCGAAAAGCCATACAGTTCAAAGAAGAGGCACGTGACATATCTTCAGATGTCCGGGTTCCGCGGCCTTATGCGAGCCCAACACTTGTTTAGCTCATACACGGCGAAAACAGATCGAGTTCGACGTGACATTCATGAACATTGGAAGATACACAAATGTTCAAGCATAGGTATATTCAGCCCACCTTATGCCTACTAACTTGCTTCGATGTTCACGCTCAACAGAGCACATTTCACAATAAACCCAGTAACCCACAGCCCGGTCTGAACTTTGAAACGTAGCGTTCTCTCTATCATCAGCAGTAAGGTCAAGCACAAACACGGCCAAATTCGGCATAGCATGGCATAGTTCTCAAATGGGACATCAACTTTCAATCGCAATTAAAAACAGAGTAAACAGAGGGAACGTAAAGATCAGAACGGAATCGATTCGAAACGGACGTGGAAGAGCAAAAATTTAAAAGAAAACCCGGGCAGGGATCAAGAAAAGGATAAGAGGGTGAAACCTCCGACGAACAATTTGGTGCAAGAACCGCGAGACAATATCCCTCCGGCGAGCGGAGAGGCACGTGAGCGACGAGCAATGCGAGCACCTAAACCCTGCATCGTACCCTCAGAGCCTATCAAAGCGACTCCTTGAGATTTGCAGTATAACTGAAACAACTGAAACAAGTTTTGTTTTTTTTTTTTACTTACCCGTTGAAGAAATTACCGCGTTCGTTTGTTTTGCTAATTTCCGCCATTAAAGCATCTGAAAAATTAAACCAATTCTCCTAAACAATCTAGTCTTATCTGTCTTTCGTGAAATAATCAGAACCTTAATAAGAAAAGGAGATATCGTACTATGATGTTTTCGAAGATTTCATCAAACTTTCCGTTATACTTCGTTAACCTCGAAACTTTCGACTATTTCAATCATTGAACATTTTGTTAAAGTTTTACCAACTTCTCCCTAATTAATATATCGATTGTTTTTTGTTTGAAATCAATTTTTTCCACAAGTTAAACAAAAGAAATGAAAATTAGAGTATGAAAAAATGAGAAAAAAAATGGATTTGTACAATCTCATTTTGGTAATGTCACAATGTTAAATTTTAGAAGAATTGAAGATGTGAATATACCAATAAGAATTGGCAGTAGGGCTGGTTTGCCCTCCCTTAAACATCCTAATGACATTCATTTTGCATGTGGAACTCCAAACTACAGATTGGCAGTGGCGGAGCATGGTGCAATACAGAATGAGATGTTTGGTGAATGGAAAGAATTCCGAGACGATGATGATTCATGTGCTAAAAGAAGTTTCGGGATAATTTAGTTGATGCAAACTATGTTTTTTTCACTTCCCACTTATCTGCTGGGATTGCTAGTTGGGTTATTGGGTGTTTGTAGAGACATTATTGAGGGATTAATCCCAAACTGTCAAAGGCTACTACATGAATGTAACACATAACCCCGTTGTTTTTTTAATATCCTCCTAAAGGCACTGATTTATCAATCAGTGCCTTTACCTCCCACCGTGGATTTCCTGGTGCAGAACATGACAAACCTGTTATCTGAACATCAGTGTTCTGCAAATAGGAAAGTCTTTTACATGTTCCTTCGTTGCATTTCCTGTGTCATAAAAGTACTCTTGTTCTTAACACAGGTAATCCGAGTGTCGATACCGAAACTGATAAAAATATACCGTCCTGCGTTGAATGAAATTCATCCTCAACCTCAATCTTTGAGATCAAAGCGGTCCCATCCATATAACTTTCTGAAATTGCAATGAAGCTGTTCTCTTGAACATGGAGAACAAAACCACAGTAAGAATCGTGGTTTGTACAAATTCTTCACAGAAACTACAGTGTTTTTAACTTCCGCAAGGTCATCGACAGAAACACTAAAACCTCATGACCGCACCCTCACGACCGCAACATCTCACGGTTGCGTTTAAGGATATACTATACCAAACTTTAGGATGTTGCGGCTTTAAAATATGAGTCAGTGAACCACATGGACTACGGCATCATAGGCCAGCTACACCACATCACGACCATAGAGATGCTCAAACAATCACTAAGCAACTTCTGTCACCGCATCCTAATCTAAATCTGTGTGAAACAGATTCCTACGCATTCCAATTTGATGCCATGCCTTCTAGAGAACAATCATCAAGTGCAGCGGGCATTTTACGCCCTCTGACTCCGCAGATTCCACAACAATATCAGCTTCCCTCCACAATCTGCTTGGAGGATCAACGCTTATGCTCCCTGCATGAAGTAAAAGATGCTGCATGACAATCCATCTTGCCAGAACCCTCTTCGTAGAATAACCGAGATAAACAGTGTAGATTATAGTAGATCATAAAGCAATTTCAGCTTCCCGAGGAAAAAATCACGGATATGATGACAAGATCACCTCTTGTATAGCAAACATTGTGTTTTTGCACCTATTCCATGGAAGGAACTATTAGTCCACATACAAGCCCAACCAGTCATTCTAAAAAAACGTTCATTCATCACAGGCCTAAGACATTTAGGCCCGTTTGGCAACATGCCAAATAGTGAAAATTTCTGTTCTTTTGTTTCCAGAATCAGTTTGGGAACAGAAATTCGTTTGTTAAAATTTTTGTGCCCGGGCACAATTTTGTAAAAAATTGATCTCAGAATCAGTTTTGGAACATAATCAAGAAGCAAAAAAAAGTAGCTTCTTGATTCTGGAACAATTTTTCCGGAATTGATTCTTCTTGGTTTTCTTCTTTCTTTTTTATTTGTTCTTCATCTTCTTCCCGGCCCACTGCCAGCGACCGGCCACCGGCGACCGTCCACCGGCGACTGGCCAGGGCCAGCAAGGGTGGCCCTTGTCGCCCCCGGTGACGGCGAGGTCGGCCTTGCCCAGATCTGGCGAGGTCGAGTCTTGCCCGGCCTCGCCGTCGCGAGGAGTGGCGACAGCGAGGTCGGCCTCGCCTTGGCCTGGCGAGGTTCGACCTCACCGTGATCTGGTGAGGCCGACCTCGCCGTCGTCGGGGATGGCGACGGTGAGGTCGGCCTCACCAGATCTGGGCAAGGTCGAGCCTCGCCCGACCATCGCGAGGCCGACCTCGCCGTCTCAAGGGGTGGCGACGGCGAGGTCAGCCTCGCCTTGGCCTGGCGAGGCTCGACCTCGCCGTGGGAAAAAAAAAGAAAAAAAAAAGAAAGAAATATTAAAAAATTCAAAATATTATAAATAAAAAGAAATTTTGTGTAGTTACCAAACGCATTTCTGTTCTTTTTCTATTCTAAGAATAGAAATTTTGGGCAGTTACCAAACGCCTTCAAATGCTTAGAAATTGTTCCCAGGCACAGAATCAAAATGAATCATTTCTGACCAGAATCTGTTCCCGGGCACAGAATGGTTGCCATGTGCACTCTTAATATATTCGACCAAAAAAAAAAAGACATTTAATATAATGTTTTGATATTCTAGAGACATGGAAACTTCATATCCAGAAAACGCGGTACTTGCATTCATCTTTGTGAGATAAATCACTCCAAGAGGAACTATCCAACACTTGGTGCCCACAAACAAAAGATCTCTCAACTGAAAACAGACATATCATCCAATAGCATTGAAAAGGAAGAAGAGAAGAATTCTCGGCTATTCACGGTTTTAAACATCATGTGGCTGACCTTCGACTTGTACGCAGCAAGTCCCAAAAAAAGACCAAGCTACGAATGATAACTAGTCAAACTTACTTAAAAAATAGCTGAATTATTCTAAATTAACAGGATCTGGACATACCTTTAGTTCCCGACCCATGTCTCGGTTCCATGCTTGGAAATCCACATATCATTCCACTATGATCATGCAAATGACATTTTAACCAATCTCGCATCATTACGAGAAAATGAATTCGAAATTGGAAAAGCTTGCTTTTCTTTATGCCCCAATCCCTCAAATTTCATAGCTGTTTCGTGCCAACTCTTTTTTGGTGCTTAGCCGCATTCCTCTGACAAATAAATATACAGCAGTGAGGACTATAATGTCTAAAATGATTGATGAGAGGTGGACATATGCTTTGAAACTCTAAATGCTACTTATAAGGAAACAAATCCAGAAGAAACTCAACATCCATGCAATCTGTAAGTCTTGACCTTCACTGGTCCAAACCAGCCAGGGCAAAAAGAAAAGAAACGGGAAATGCAAAACCTCACCTGTACATCTGGACAGAGAGATGTAAAGATTTCACCGTAGCAGTGAATGCCCTCGTGTTGAGCCATTTGCTCAGTCCTGAGATTACAGGTAAGTGACTACATGTACGATCACATGTGAAAAATAAGAGAAACATGCAGGTGATCGAGCACTCACAAATGTGATGGCCCAGAGAACCACAAAATGCTGTTATATGCATAATGAATGTTTGAGGTTCACAATTGAAGGTACCAGCTAAATAATTAATTCAGGCAGGGAAAGTTGGCACACATTTCACGCGGGAACGTGTACCATCATATAAGATAGTTTTAATCACCATAGCCTAAGGATGAACATCATCCTTGAATTCTAGAATTCATCTTTTTCTTGCCTGTTAGTATACAGGATTAGTCAATCCTAAAAAGAAGGAAGGGGAAAGTAGAAAAGGAGTTACTTGATCGCAGACTTGATTGGAATGCTAAAACCAAGAAAGAGCAGCGCTTACCTGGACCCTTAGGTTCTGATCCAAGTACAGTAGATTGCCGCACATGATAACTTCGCAGCCATAGCTCACAAAGGACCCCATCTTGGGTTCATTTAACATTGAATAGTTCAATCTACTGCATCTTATGGTAAAATGTTAAAAGAAGCTCCATGGCTGAGATTACTATACGTGACCCGATTTGGTGTCACACCCCTTCTTATCATATCATCCCGCAATTCAAAAGCTTTCTTAAGGTTTCCAGTCACGCAACAACCATAAATTAAGAAATTATATGCTATTGTATCTGGCTTCAGACCCTTACTCAGCATATTTTCCCATAATTTGATTGCTTCCTGTAAATGACCCCTTTTACAATAGTTGTAAATCAAGGTTGAATAAGATATACAATCTGGAAAGATGCCATTTGCAGTCATCTCAACTAGAAGTTCAGAAGCTTCTCGAATTTTAGCCAATCTGCAGAAACCACGGATCAGCATATTGTAAGTGGTGGAGTTTGCCAAAGACCCTTTAAGCATTGCTTCGTGCAGCTTTGCAGCATTTTCCATATCACCTGTTATTGTCAAGTGGTCGAGAAAGCAACCATATGTTACATGGTTCGGGAGGGAATTAGAAGCTAGCATTTCCTTTAGAAGGAGCTCAGCTTTATCTATGAATCCCGCCTTACATAAGCAATCTATTAGGACAGTGTATGTCACCACATTCGGGCTACACCCTTCTCCAATCATCACATCCCAAAAACCGAATGCCTCCTTCAAGTTCCCTGCTTTGCCATAAGCATCAATCATGCTGGTATATATTACGCTATCAGGCCTTAAACCAAGATCGTGCATCTCCTTTAGGACACACAGTAACCTCCTTACCTCATGCTTTTTGAGAATTCCGTATATAAGTACAGCATAACACACAAGATCCACATTTATACCTCTTTCAACCATCTCAGAAACAATTGTCATTGCCTCCTCTAATCTTCCTTCTTTGCAAAATCCATGTAAAAGTGTACCATAGCACATCTCATTTAACCTAATATGCTGGTGGCATAGGTTATCCAAAAAGTTTTTGGCCTCAGTTACTCTACCAATCACACAAAGGCCACCGATTAAGGACCTATACGTGTATGTGTCAGGCACAAGGCCCCTTTTTTGCATTTCATTAAACAATTCAAAGGCTCTAACGACATTGCCTACCTTGCAGTACCCATCAATCATAACATTGTATGTTACCTCATTTGGGAGAACATTCTTTCCCACCATTTCATCAAATAATTTACAAGCTTCATCAACCCTATTTACACGACACAGACCAGAAATGAGTGCAGTAAAGGTGTATATATTAGGTCCTATACCCTTCCCAGTCATTTCCTGGTAGAGTCTGAATGCCTCATGCATTTGTCCTTCTTTGCAGTATCCGTCAACCAATAACGAGTAAGTTATTACAGTTGGTATATGTCTCTTCTCAGTCATCTCATGAAAGATAGACTTGGCAGCAGACAAATTTCCTAGCTTGCAGTGTCCGCCTATTAAAGAATTGTAGGTATAAACAGTAGCTCTTATTCCTGCCTTGCCCATATTATCAAGAAAATGGAGAGCGGTTTCCAACTCTCCTTTCTTGCTGAAAAAATCAATAAAAATGGTGTATGTAACATCATTCGGAGATGGACCGTCCTTCCTCATCTTATCAAGAAGCGACTTAGCTTGATCCAACTTGCTGATTTTGCACAGACAACTTATTAAACCATTACATACAAACAAGTTAGGCAACACTCCAAGCTTCCCCACTCTATCAACCAAATAATAAGCATCCATGATCTTACCCTTCCTCCTCAGCCCCTCAGTAAGGCCAGAAAGAGCCGCTTCAGTTGGACAAAGTCCCAACTCAAACATTTCATTCATATACTCCAATGCAACCCCATAATCCTGTGCTTTGCAAAGCCCGAGCACTAATGTGCAGTATGTTACAGCATCCGCTTGGAGTCCACCTCTTCTGAGAGAATTCTTGATCACGATGGCATCCCCAATCCTCTGATCCTTGCAAAGCCCATTAATCAACACATTGTAAGGTACTACATTCAACTGACACCCAGAGTGCTCCATCAAACAGATTACTTCTTTGGCTCTCATGAAATCCTTTGTCTCGCACATGCTCCTGATTATCATCGTATACATGTAAACATCTGGCGAGACACCTAAGCTCAGAATAAAATCGAACAATTCCACAACCAGCGGAAACTGCCTGACTTTCACAAGCCCGCTCAAAAGGGCACTCAAAGTCCTCGTTTCTGGCAGCAACTTGTGCTCCGCCGTGAGCTCGAAAACCGCACAGGCATCGAAGACCCTTCCTTTCTGCACATAGCTCTGAATCAACAGATCAAAACCCAGGCTCGAAGCGAACCCGCATTCCTCGTAACACTTGAAGAACTCCCCGAAAACCTCCCTCGGGCTCAGCTCGCGTAGCAGCAGCGTCTGCAACAGCGACGAAGCGGGCCAGAAGAGGTTGCCCTGGACGAGGGCGTGAACCAAGATGCAGAACGACGCGGTCGAGTGGACGAAGCCCCTGTGGAGACCCAGGAAATTGAAGAACCGAAGAGCCAACCGGCAGTCGTCCAAGGTTCCGACCAGCACCCTCTCGACGTGACGGGGCGCCAAGGAGCTCGCGATGAACGGGTTGTCGAGCGCGTCCCGCCAGCTATTCCTCCCCCGGACGATGCTTGCGAGGGTGGCCACGAACCGCGAGTCCCCGTCGTCGTCGCCGTCGCCGGACCCTGCGGAGGCTGCGCTGCAAAAGGGTCTCGACGGGGCCCGAAAGCAGAGGCCGAAGATGGGTTTTCGCGAGCGAGCGAGGTTCTTCATTTTGGCGCACTGATGGGACGAAGAGCGTCAGCCATTGATGGGGGTTGCGGCGCTTGCGACGGAGCTGCACGATTCGCTCGTGTTTGCGCAGGCGTAGGAGAAGATCGATCGATCGATCGTCCATTCGCCGAAGGCGTAGCTGAAGCGAAGCGAAATCGTGGGCTTTGAAATGGCCCAAATAGGAGAAAAAAAGGCCCCCAAAAAATAAATTTTATCAATTTCTCTATTTTTTATTTGTCTCTCTATATATAAAATCAAACTCGATATATATTTCACTTTTATTTTTTAAGTTCTAAGATAACGATGTGTCTTTAAGATGTATAATCCCATATGTCTTTCGCAAATCAAAATCGAATTCGAAATCCGATCCTCTCCCCTTTCTTTTTTGTTCAGTCGGAGGAACATAGAAAGTTTACAAGTAAAGCAAATCTCAAAAGAGCTGCGAAACAAAACAGAACTCGGAAAGAAGACACGAGAGTATAGCTTGTAGGTATGAGAATGCTCTAATCCCAAAAGACCATATCTACGCGGCATACATAAAAAAAAAAAAACTAATCGGCAACCGATCGCCAGAATAGTCAGTGATGGGCACACGCCAAGATCTTTCCCTCCAGAAACTACGGCTTGCAGTGCGTACTTAGATTCGACATCCTCAGCTTGCCATACAAAGAAATTGTAGAAACACGTTATGGGCATCCTTCTAGTTGGACTAGTGATGACGTTCTCACGAAATTTTCAATTGCGAGTAGATTTATTTACCACGACGAGTAAAGAAAAGCAACCACAACGAGTGAAAGAAGACGCTAAATGAGACGAAAAAAAACTCCTAGATTAATTTCTTATATTTCGTTTTCGCTGCTTATTTGAAAGTTTTTTTTTTCATTTTCTGTCGTTCGTACACGAGTGTGTCCGCTTTTTTGTTAGATTATGTACAAAACAAACTTCAATTTATGAATCAAGTATCAAAACGGAGGTCGAGATTTGAGGAAGTACCTAAAATTAGCATCTTGTGTCCCGCGCCATGTGTATATTGAGTAAGGACTACAACAAAATATGAAAGTTTGAGGGAGATTCATAGCTCATGACAAAGATACCGTATTTAAACCTTAAATCGAATTGAAGAGTAAATTACGAATTGAGAATCAACAACTTCCATTGACCTTGCCACCGAATTTTCCAATTACCCAATCATTTTCCATTATAGCAATACCAAAATAAATAAATAAAAAAAGGCATGCGTTGAGGCTAGAGATGCATCCGTCCATCCTCCTGGAATCATTGCACTTACGTATTTAAGGAGATGAAAGATTCGAACTTATAATTTCCCGCTCTAATACTAATGCGAGATTTTGCAGTATCACTGCTAACTATTATAAAAGCTTAAATCGTTGAATGACATGCTGTTTGGTATTTGCAATAGGCTCGCGCTATTTTAATTTGTGAATTTGGGAAGAGAGAAAATCCCCAAACTCGTACACCTATGACGATGTCATCTTCGCTCTCCAAATGTTTCCAAATGTAAGGCAGATGAAAGGTAACATTTGAAAAGTTGGCATCTGCCTTTTGAATTATATGAAAAAGGGTTTTTCGTCCCGCCAACTCTTCTTTCCCCAATGCTCGCGAGGGTGGCCACGAACCGCGAGTCCTCGTCGTCGGCCCCTGTGGAGGCGTCGCTGCAAACGGGTCTCCATTGTGCCCGAAAGTAGAGGCCGAAGATGGGTTTTCACGAGCGAGCGAGATTCTTCATTTTGGCGCACTGATGGGATGAAGAGCGTGAGCCATTGATGGGGGGTTGCGGCGCCGACGACGGAGCTGCACAATCGAGCGCTTGGGATTCGCTCGTGTTTGCGCAGGCGCAGGAGAAGAAGATCAATCGCCGATTCGCCGAAGCAAAATCATGGGCTTTGAAACTGAGCCCAATTTCCTAGTGCGAGGTTCGTAATGGCCCAAATAGGAGAAAAAAGGCCCCCAAAAAATAAATTTTATCGATTTCTCTATTTTTTTATTTGTCTCTCTATATATAAAATCAAACTCAACGTATATTTCACTTTTATTTTTTAAGTTCTAAGATAATGATGTGTTTTTAAGATGTATAAGCCCATGTGTCTTTCGCTTATCAAAATCGAATTTAATTCATTTGTCATAATCAAGGAGGAACATTGAAAGTTTCCAAGTAAAACAAATCCCAAAACAGCAGCGAAATAAAACGAAACTCGGAAAGAAAACACAAGAGTATAGCTTGTAGGTATGAGCATGCTCTAATCCCAAAAGACCATATCTATCGCAGCATACATAAAAAAAAACAAAAAACTAATCGGCAACCGATCGCCAGGATAGTTAGTGATGGCATACGTCGAGATCTTCCCCTCCAGAAACTACGGCTTGCAGTGCGTACTTAGATTCGACATCCTCAGCTTGCCTTACAAAGAAATCGTAGAAACACGTTATAGACATCCTTCTGGTTGGACTAGTGATAACGTTCTCACGAAATTTTCAATTGCGAGCAGATTTATTCACCACGACGAGTAAAGAAAAGCAACCACAACGAGCGAAAGAAGATGCTAAATGAGACGAAAAAAAAACTCCTAGATTAATTTCTTATATTTCGCTTTCACTGCTTATTTGAAAGCCTTTTTTTTTTCATTTTCTGTTGCTCGTACACGAGTGTGTCCACTTTTTTGTTAGATTATGTACAAAACAAACTTCTATTTATGAATCAAGTATCAAAACGGATGTTGAGATTTGAGGAAGTACGTAAAATTAGCATCTTGTGTCCCACGCCATGTGTATATTGAGTAAGGACTACAACAAAATATGAAAGTTTTGGGGAGATTCATGACCCATGACAAAGATACCGTAATCACGTTATGATTTCTATGCATAAAACGATATCATTACTCATTGCTTTTATCGACATAAACATCTAATTAAATACAAATCACAAATATTTAGTAAGTAAACATTATAAAAAAAATAATAATCGTGTGATGAGTTATATATATCAAGTCGTAGATTCACTTATAATTTAGGATAGTACTGATATCAACCCATATATACACGTGGTTTAAACCTTAAATCGAATTGAAGCGTAAATTACGAATTGAGAATCAACGACTTCCATTAACTTTGCCACCAAATTTTCCAATTACCCAATCATTTTCTATTATAGCAATACCAAAATAAAAAAAAGGCATGCATTAAGGCTAAAGATGCATCCGTCCGTCCTCTTGGAATCATTGCGCTTGCGTATTTAAGGAGCTGAAAGGTTCGAACTTATAATTTCTCGCTCTAATATCATGCGAGATTTTGCAGGATCACTGCTAACTATTATAAAAGCTTAAATCGTTGAATGACATGCCGTTTGGTATTTGTAATAGGCTTGCGCTATTTTCACCCTCTTATTGACTCCTGACACCCCAAATCACATTGAACTGACTACATTATATCTTGCATGTCTCGCTCTTGGTTTAAGATTATTTATTACATTTTCTTCTTCTTTTTTTCAATTTTATTTAAAGACAAAACTAGGCACATCTATTTCAAATAGCTTTTTTTTCACCCTAGCCACTTCTTCCACACTCATTACATTTCAACGTTTCCTTCATATTTGTCTTCTTTTGAACTTATTATCCATTATTATAATCCGAGCATGCACTAATCATATATCGGAGTAAAGAAATGTTAGTGTTATCCGTAAATTATTCACTTTATTTCCCTAAATTATCTTCAGCATTGTGAATTTTTCGACTTCGATTTTTTGTACAAATTTAAGAGAATTTACTCAAGATTGAATATCGTGGTTGATGTATGCATTATCCATAATTTACTCGTTCTTTATTGTATTGTTTTTTGTAGTGGAGTCACTCTGGAAGACAATATTATTTTCTGCTTGAGCGTATCTATCGACGATGAAACTGCGAATGGAAAAAATAGCTATCAATCATCTCAAAATGTTCATTCTAATGCAAGAGGATCTTTTGAGTTGTGTGCAGACGTATCTTCTTACTCAAGGTTATTTTGTCTCTACAAAAAGGTCAGAGAGAGAAAAATTGTCCTTCTTAGTTGTGACAAGGAAGCTAATTATCGCCATCGAAGTAATAATTCTATTGCACGTCAGAGAAGAAAGACTGAATCTCGTTCGATTAATTGTGCTTTTGAAGTGCTTTGCTATTAAAAGAAGAATGGATCACGGTCACTCAAAATATTGAATGCATCACATAATAAATAATTTAAAATTAGATTATTAGATTCACATAATAAAATGAAAGCTGAGCATTTAAAATACACATATTACAATGTAATGACACATATTAAAGTTATAATTAAACAAAACGCGTACTAAAACATTGAAGATAAATTTTTTAAAGTTTATTATCTTCTAAAGCAATTATCGGACTCTTTTGATGTCTTGAAGTTTCAAACGGACTTGCCTTTGCCCCCGTCCCGTGCGAACTCACCACCGCATGTCACAACCATACCCAGTTTTCACACATTGTCGCCATTTCAGGCGTCACTCTTTTATCACTTGCTTGTACCTTCACAGCACGACCATCTCTCTTCTCCCTTAGATCCTATCTGATGCGTTTGCATCTCCCCGTCTCTTGATCATCGCATCACCGCCTCGGCCCTCGACCATGGCTCCTCCCTACCTCTAGCTCCAGGCTCGTGCCCATGGAACCTTAACTCAATAGCTCATTCGAATCCCCAAATCGAATTACGGGCTTTTGCATTCTCGGACCAATGTCATTCGAGGTCATGGCCATCGCCAAGCACAAGGTCAAGAGGGCATTGGCGAGATATATAAAGGGGGGAGAGAGAGAGAGACCCGGCCAATAGAGAAAAAGAAGGGCGTGTGAAAGGACAGGGGAGCTAAAAGCGAAGAGTGGCGGTGGTCGAATCTAACGATGGTTTTCGCGCGGTGACTAGCGATAGTTTTTTCGAAAGTGGCACCCAAGCGACATTTTTTTTCTTACGCACCTCTTTACTCATCTTGGTCAAGCCAAACAAATAAAATACCTCAAGTCATAGCAAATGAAAAGTTGAACTTTTAATTTAAAGGGCATGTTGGCCGATTATTAGCAATAAATGATGTGGCACATGAAATATATGAGTTCCGATTTTTGTAATCACTTGCTCGTGTCGAATTCCATAAATTAAGAACACGATTTGTCCCCCACGGGTAAAAAGTTTTACTCTGTGAGGGAAATGCACTAAATTGGAAATCGGAAACACGCTGCGGAATTCTCCCACTAATAAACCAAACCGCCCTTCTTTCAAAATTCCCTCCAAAGGCCCCGCCCCGCGGGGAGCGCACGAGGCCCCCCCCCGCCACGTCATCGATCCGCGTCTCTCCCCCTCCAACCAATCACAACCGATCACTCCCACCTATAAAACACAAAACCTCGATCTTCATCCTCCTCACCAAAGCCTCCCTCCTCTTCTACCTGTGAAATTTCGAAACTTTCGATCTCTCTCTCCCTCTCTCTTTCTCTGTTAGACTCAATTCCTAGCGATCCCAATGGCGCCCAAGGCCGAGAAGAAGCCCGCCGAGAAGAAGCCGGCCTCCGAGAAGCCGGCGGAGGAGAAGAAGTCCGCCGCCGTCGCCGAGAAGGGCCCGGCGG